TTTTCTTTTATAATACCTTAAGGCTTATAATAAGATTTATTAGTTATTATAAAAGCTTATAGATAAAAGCTTATATTAGGGAAAAAAAATATTATATTATTATTTATTATCTATATTTATAGCCTAAAGCTTAACCTTATAGGCCGCAGTCCTCCTATAGTAACCCATATAGAACTGCCCAGTTCTTTGGTACCCTATCTGACAGTTAGAAATGGCTCCTTGTTCACAAGGTAGTGGTCCTAACCGTAGTATCTGAGGCCATCCTACTATATACTACTCGGCCTATTCAACGTGAATACGTCGTCATTCATCGCCATGGAGGCTTTGTTGAGTATCCGGTGCTCAAGAGCTTGTCTTCCAATAGAGGGATGTGAAAACCTATCCAGTGGCTAGTCCAAAGATATTCTGAGAGCTTCTCGTATCTCACTCGCTGCAGCTCGTACAGTGTCTGCTGTAAGTAGATTGAGCCTGCCCAGTTGATCGTCAGGTCCCCATAGACCCCATGTATTTACCAAAGGACGATTCTTGTCCAAAGGCTAGTCATGGAATGTAGAGAGCTTCTTTGAAGTCATCTTGGTTTGCGCGAATAGATCGATTCAGAATGTCTGGCCAGTGGATACTGTTCAAACCTCGTATGACTGACTGGAAGTTCCCTGGCGTGACTCAGAAGCGATAAACACTCCTAGCCGTGCCGCTAGAGTATATAATCACTAAAACATGAATGGCGCTCCGGTTGGAACATGATAAACCCATGTTGTCAGAGTGATGCCGATCATTTACCCCAGCTTCCCCGTGTCCATTCCTTTCCGGGGTATGCCAAGACGGAAATTCCAGAAGACGACCAAACGCTACACGGGTATGATGCAGGGGTGCATGAATTTTCGAATAAGATAACGGAAATAATCAGCAGGATATTGTGTCGCGTGCCGGAGCCTCGGGTCGAGCATGGCCGAGGATGGAAACCTCCATTCGCATTTAAGCCGGGAACGATCCGTGTATTGTGCGATCTTTTGTAAGAATGTTCCACGATAAGAATCTAGCAATCACCATGCGGAATCCATTCGCAGTCAGGGCTCCATCGCTCGAAGGTGAGGATATTCCTCGCGGGATCTATGGCTTCCGGCCCTACTACCTCCTTGCCATTTCAGCGTCATGAGCTTGTGAGTATGTACTCCATCTCCATCAACATTACTAATATAGCAAGCTGCTATGTACGGGTCAAGGAATTGGGTCAGATCAAATTGTGCAGAGTGGTAACCCTTAAATAACTGCAGGCAGCTAATAAGACTGCATTCACACGTACGGGTATGACGACGCTTTCATTGGAGGTACTGTCAATCTACCCTCCTACCAACGAGCCCATAGTCTAGATACAGCAAGCGACTCTGCGAAAGCAAACTTCTCGTCCAACGTCGTATCGACCTTCCAAGGCGGTGCTTTACTTGGCTGTGCATCAAATTCCTTTGTCGCTGAACTCTTCCGACGCCGTCCGACCCTCGTTCTTGTCGCTATACTCTTCTCCATTCGTGCAGCGCTCTAAATGATTGGCCGACTCGATTGCTTGCATGTCGGTCGGGCACGTACAAGCTGGGGTGTTGGGTCAAGTGCAATGATCCTCTCAATCTATGTCTCTGAATGCTCACCTGCCTTGATCCGCGGACGACTTCTCGGAACATTCGAAGTTATGCTTCAAGTTGCACTGGCCTGTGGATTCAGGATCAACCACGGTCTCAATAAATACATCAGCCCAGAAGGGAATACGTAATGGCATATTCCTGTCGTTGTTCAGTTCGTGCCAGCTGGCCTGTTGGTTATCTTCATGATACCCATGATTGAGCCACCTCGATGGCTGGTCTTCAAGGGCAAGCTTCAAGACGCCAGAAACAATATCAGCTGGGTTCGCAACCTCTCCCAGGATCATCCCTACGAGGAGTGCAAAGCTCACCCGCCAGGCATGCAGATCACCAACATATACTTTGAGAACTTCACTGGATACACGTTTGGTGTTTATGGTAACGCTGTTCCAAGGCTCTCCTGCTCAGCTTCTACCAAATTGTCATTGATATACAGAAAAGGACCTCCAAGGCCACTCACGAGCGTGTCGCTTCCACAGCTTGTTGGCTGCGGGATGAGTACAATAACAGACTGTCCGACATGATCGCGGTTCTCCAACTTGTGATTGACTTTCGCTCTTGTCAGTTCTTGTCCATAATAGAGTCACTGTGCTTGCATACCGTCTATGAGCTGTTCAGTTCCTGGAACTGCCTCACGATTGATCTGCAGAGCCATGATTAAGAATCCGGCGTACGAACAATCTATAATAACTTGCTGATGGAATATGTTCTCAATGTGCGAAAAGGATGGTTTATATGCTCCAGCGCTGGTCTCTTTGGCTGCAATTTCCGGATGAATCATTCCGAGATGGTTTATCTGTTGATACCAGCTCGCTTACGAGCGTGAAGGTCCAAGCGACGGGGTCGATCACCCGATAACAGCCATATCTGATAGTCCCTAAAAATCGCATATCTGGAGCCTGGGGTAACGAGTAGTAAAGACAAAGGCGCGTGAATATCCAGTTCCCCCCGGATTTACGATGGAGCCTGATCCTTAGAGATTCGCTAGTCTCTCGTGAGCGCGGTGTGTTTGCACAATGGCCATTGTCACATAATAAGGCGGTGAAAAATGCGAAATGGCTCGAATATCAGGATAGCGGTTTGGTAAATGTGCAATTCACCTTCTAAAAGTGGTAAGATCGAAGCCAATCTCGAGATCATGCTGGCATTTCATGACGGAATATCGACGTGAGGCCATGGCTGATAGTCTGCCCCGTGTTCGGCTAGACCTTCCCTATGCTAAATAATCCACGAAGCGTTTATCTCATTGGCTATCTCAAGTAGCTTATCAGAGGCACGATTCTTTTCAGCTTTAGGCTATTGGGCTGTTGATAGCTCGACCCCAGGCCGGCTATCGGTCACATTTAGACGCTCATTGATTCCAAATATCTCGTCTGTCGAAAGCCAGCAGTTTCACTTAGTGATCTCAGCTCCAATTGGACAAAAGTGAGATGTTTCTGTCATGGGTAAGGCCGCAATTATGCATATGATATCACTTGAGGAGGAAGTTGTATTAGGTTGGACAGGTAATGAGAGATGTCTTATTATATACTATGAAGATGGAAATCTTTGATCTAAGGGATACAGCCTCGATAACTTGGTGTGGTCAGAATAGCTCCTGATGGAGAAGAAGCAGGGGATAATGTGCTTTAGAACAATCGTCGAACAAGAATGGCCGTCCAAGATTTTAACACTTGCCCTTCTCGAGGGAAGTCCTATTGAATGTTAGCTTAATCCATGTATGCAGTACTATTGGGGAGACTTACTCTGTGTGCCAGCTCTTCATGCGTCCCTGACCTCCCTCAGGGCACTTGGAGATAGGAAGAAGGAGATTTCTCTGACACTCGGTGGGAAGAATAGCTTTTCGAGTTCCCCACTCATTGTAGATCTCAAAGATAAACTTGCCGTCACCCGAAGGCGCATCAACACACTTGGTCCTCTTCTCACCAATGTTGTAAATACCATTCGCGCCATTGCTGCACCACTCAGTAGCAGCCTTCGCAGCAGCAACTTTGTTACTTCCCCAAGGGAGAATGTCCTCATTGCCGTAACAAGCAGCAGTCTCTGGGTACTCAAAGCCAATGGTGCGAACACAGACGTTGGCATCGGCCCAGAGGCTAAGACAGTCCTTGCCGACGGTGGGGTTCCATTCCTTGAACTGGTCAAAGGAGATTCCGAATTGGGCAGAGATCATGAGACAGTTGTCGCCGGGCTTGACGTAGTAGAAGGCGTCGCAGTTGTCCACCATGCCGGGTTGGATGGGGAGGGGGGTGGTGATGCCGTTGTCGCCCGTGATGGACTCAATGGCTGTGGCCTTCTTGGCTGTAGCGCTGGGACCGGCGGCAAGGGCACCTGCGCTGGTGGAAAGAAGAGTTGCGATGTTGGTGAACTTCATTTTGTAGGTCAACTATTGATACTGAACTGGTTGTGTGCTTGTTGGTTGAATGGCTGAATGAGCTTGAGAAATTGTCTACTGGCCACGGAAACATCTCGGTTTATATAGATTTTCAACACCAGTATCATCATCCGATTTAACCTCGCCGAGCAAACAATATCTCTCAAAAGCTATACCCATCCTATTCTCGGAGCATTAATGCAGGGCAGAACAGGCTGCTGCCGCCTGCGCCGACAAAAAGTCCCCTGAAAATCAGATTCTCTCCAATAACGACAATCGCCAAGGTAAGGTTGGTTCGTTTGTAGAAATAACCGAGCGTCTTGGCGTGAGGCACAGAGCGGCACAGGTGGATCGGACAATATTTCCGCTTCCCGAATGACTCGAAAAGTCGTATCATTAGAGCCTTATGAGGCCTAAGGCTGACACCCGAGGGCCCGGAGAATTCTTCCACGATGTGAAGAGTTGCAGTGTAGTTTACGGCGTGAAGAAATAATGCTACGGTTGTGACCCCACTAGGGCCGGGGATTTCCTGGTTGGGAAGGCAGTGCGAGGTTTTAATTATGTTACGTAGTATTGAAAGTAAGCTTCTATTCAGCCGCAGACTAGTTGATCAAGAATGATCCTTTAACCTCGTATTGCATAGATATATAATAGCACTTATGAACCGTAAGCCAATAAGACGATGCACGTGTGTCGCCAGCGTCAGCCGTTGTTCATGAAAGCCCACGATACGAGTAAATGCTACCATGTAGCCTAATCCTCCTTCACGATCTCTGAACTTCGAAGGGCATGGTATTCAGCCGTCGGGCAAGTTCCTTCCAAAGTCTGAACAGCCGCCATACGTCTGGCATTGAGAAGATCCAGATTGATCTGAGGTCCCGTGAAGGAGCCCTTTTTGGTGGTGAACCAAAGGGCTATGACAAACGATACCAGTCCGGTGAAGACGACGGAGACATAGCTCATGTTCTCAGGCGTAACGGGCATGGTAGTGGGGAAACAGTACAGGATATCAAGAAATACTACCCATGCGACTGAGATGCCGTTAATCGCGGCGCCGTATTTGCCGAGACTGAAGTATCGAATTGGCAAGACACGATCGCGCCCTCGGTAAAGTAGAACAGCTTGAGGAATGACACAGGAAGTTTGGAGAAAGATGATGGCCGCGCTGACCATAGCAGAAAATGCGGTTGACGAACCGAGGAAGATGAGACCGTATAGCTAGAAGGAGGGGTGAGTGAGACCGTAGTGATATTGTTGGCAGATAGATACTCACAGTAATGAAAACAGCAGAAAGAAGGAGTGCGTTGACAGGAACTTGAAACCTCGAATGAACGCGGCCCCAAAACTGGGAGTATGGCAAGGCACCGTCACGCGAAACGGCCCAGAGCGTCCGTGATGACGTGGTCGCTACAAGGTCAGCACAGGCTTTGTCGAGGGAAACGAGCTTACCATTGGCGACGAGATTGGCGAAGAAGCAGAACGCGAACAGCGACATCAGCACTGACGCCGCTGGTCGAGATCCTGTTCCTTGATAGTAAATCTCAAAGAGCGGCAACCCGGTCGTCGTGTTGAGTACGGCTGGCAAGTCAGAGATCGCGTACATGAGAGACGCTGCAAAGGGAAATGCGGTTAGTAAGCCCATGAGCAACGGATATATCATGACCTTAGGCACGTTCTTGGCTGGATTGGGAATCTCTTCGCAGAGATGAGCTCCGCAATCACTTCCTAAAAATGCATAGACCGCATTGCCGACCGCCAACGTGAATGCAAATCCATCACTTGACCAACCTGTTCGGTTGGTAGTATCTGTAAAGATGAACTCAGCTGACGCATGGTCTTTCGTTACAACAAAGAGTGTTATCGTCGTCGCACTTAGAGTCAGGACCGAGAGGATAAAGACCATCTTGTTGAAAAGAGGAATCCACTGTGCGGTGAAAGTGTTGGCAGCTGTGGCGATCCAGATTAGAGCGACGTATATCAGATACTGATGCCATCGCTTTTGATCCCAGTCTGGATGCCATGCGCCGACGATATCGAGGATCATGGATGAGACGAAGTTGGAGACTGAGCTCGAGGCAAGCCACCAGCCAATAACACTCATCCACCCGTTTCTATCAGACAGGTCAGTATCTCAACCTTGCCTTACGAAAATATGGCACTGACAGATATGATGCGAAAGGCTTGTAGTCATCTCGCGCGACCATAAAAGACCAATAGTACTGCGCCCCGGCAACAGGATAAGCAGATGCGAGCTCAGCCATACCCAGCGACACGATGGTAGTCATCACGCCAGCGATAGGTAACGACCACAGAGTTCCAGCTGAAGACGCCTCGGTCAAACTGATTCCGATTGAGGAGCCCGTTCCGAGCCATGTACAGGTCAGAGTGAACGACAGTGCGCCAAGGGACCAGAGCGAGAAGCGACGCGGCATGGCTTGAACGTAGCCAGCGGCTTCAAGCTCCAGGGTGTCGTCATTGCTAGCTGTGCTAGAGGAGGCACCTGACATTTTTGCGTGCTTATGATACGAGGGACGAAGAATGATAAGCCGTCGGGTGAAAACTCCGCGATGTTGGCTACGGCGACTAAACTACTATCAACAGCGCTTGTGCGAGGAGGCAAACTGTAACACTAGCACTTTAAGCCGCGTGATGGAAGAAATGGAGAGCTGCAATAGAGCGAAGGAAAGGAAATGAAAACTGGAAGATCTGAACCCCCTCATTTCATCCTGATGCGCTGTCGATCACGAGGCAATGTCTCACTTGAGTTGCACAAGATGTCCGAGCGACGCCCAATGAGAATCTCGAGAGCCGTTGAGTTGTGCACAGAGATAAGAGATTAGAAATTATGCTTACATGCAGCTTGGGCCAAGTTTTCATAGGCAAGTTCCTCAGGTCGCGTGACGTAACTTTCAGCAAGATCAGTGCACTCAGCGAAAAGGATTCAACCTTCCAAACATGTAATATCTAATCAATAAAGAAGATTGATTGCGTAAAATTAATCTCGAGATAAAAGGCGACAGCTTAATACGGATAGTTGCCTCCTCCCCCAGGATATCCAATCCAGCCACGCAAAAGGCCATTCAAAATCGGGAAAACGAGCGATATCACCGATAGAATCCCTATTGCCAACCCAGATATACAAAAGTCTCCATCCAAGACCGTAGTGTTAAAGCTTATTAATCTCATTAGTTATGAATCACCAGAGCATCGTTGGTAGGCTTACCAGTCCAGAGGATCCAAGCAGACACGGATGCGCCCAGGCAAGGGATCATGGCAACTAGGCCGAGATGTCTCTTGAGAAAGCGACGCCTCCAAACCATGAAGATCCCAACAACCAAAAAGATCGCACCGCAAGCGATAAGGCTGCGTGACCCGCTGTACAACAAGAGAATGGCATCGATACTTGTGCCCTCCCTCCAAGTATCAAAACTGTCATACGGAGCGCAACCACCGGGCATCTCCCCAGAACCACTGACTCCCAAGAACATACTCGCGCCAGGAAGTGCCAAGACACCCAGGACGCATTCTTGGAGGAGCACATCGGTGGCGGTATCGTTGAAGGCTTCGTAGAAGCAAGCTGAAAGCATGATAACCCACCACCCAACACGAGGCTTGGTCAAGAAGAATATGAATAGCGTTCCGACGCTGATATTCAGCCCGGAAGCCTTGACAGCCACGGCCATAACAACGCATTGCACCACCGTCATGACAGCAGTCGCCAAGGAGTTATAGGGCATCCATGATATGGCCAAGTTCGGTGAATCTTTGAGATGGTTGTTATCCCAGAACCTCAACTTATTTCTTCTGTTCCGATGACCGAGGGTCAAGTGTGTGACTACCGCCGAGAGATGACCGAGTACGAAAGGCAGGAGCAGGAGAATAACGGAATTGCAGTAATCTGGCCGGGGGAGGGAGCTGAGTCCCGCCGGGACTTGACAATTAGGTATATATTTATCGGGGTTATCGGGGCAGACCATTTTGTTAGTAAGAAATCGGAATCGAGTGATGCAGAATGTGCCGCTGTTGAAAATGTCCTTGGATTCCCATGGATTTATATATGTTGACTACCGCGTATAAGGTTAAGCTTTAGGCTGCGGACTCAGGCAAGGAATGACAAGAGTGTTTCTGAGTCACACGACTACCCATTCAGCTCAATATGCTTCCATTCAGCCTCGCGAACAAAAAGTCTGTGAATATCCCGGCCTATGATCGATCACCTCTCCCCAAGAACAGGGTCTGGGCGCAGCCAATATTGACGCCAATTCGTTTGTCGCTTTTGATGGTTCGTCCGGGACGATAGCGAGATGCTAAGACGTCCCGTAGTGACAGGGATGTGCAAAGGCTAAAAATTAGGGTTGAAGATGTTGTATTGAGCCGCAATTTAAAGTGATTAAGCATATTCATTGGAGACATTGAGTAGGGACCTTGTGAGACATGGTAAGTTCTTTCTGGAGAACAGAAAACTCGGGACGTTTATCAGAAATGACAAAAGTAACATAGGTAATCTAGCATAAGCAAGCTCGGGATGCCTTTTGCCGAGCTTGTTATGTCACCCCTATAGTAAGGTCTGATGTTTTCTTGCCTCCCGAGGGTTGGGCTCGGATGAGTGATTTAACAGTGGTCTGAACGCGTGAAGAGCTTCCAGTGTATACAAGTAGCTGACTGTTAGTCTGCTCCTATATCTCTCACCAACATGTTAACATGCTGTCCCGGTTTGGGAGAGATGATACCCGGTGCCGGCACTTTATCATTTGCCTCCGGAAAAGGCTGGATCTCACAACCCTCAATAGAAGTAAGCTGATAGTATAACAATCACCCACCCAACAGGAGGCCCGATGCAGCAGGTCTGTCGACTTAAGACATATTCTTAACATGACTTCCACGGACAATTGATCACATCAAAGATGCTTTATAGACGTTGAGATTCATTACAAATTCGATATTTCTTGAAGTTATCTCCACGGAAGCTTTTAGGTGGAACATTACTAGTAGGTTAGACCAAATGGAACGTCTACTCGTAGAACTCCGTTAGGTCTTATCTAAGAATATATTGCTAATAATAACATCGTGTCTTTATGATTTATATTAAGCGGTCCAAGTTTAGCCTTACCAGTCTACAGCCAGCAACCATTCGAGGAATCCGCAGTCTCATTGCCCCCTTGCAAGCATCCAAAGGTGCGGCCAATCTTTGGCCAGTAAACTTGACAAGGTGTCAACTTTGTTAATCTACTAACTGGCGAGGAAATCGACCCCAGGATCATCGGGCTTCACCAAGCGAACTGATACGACACCCCCGATTCTTGTACCTCAATACAGTTCCGAGGTATGAGGCACTATACAAAGCTCCTCAAGTTGCGGAACGGCGTTGAGTATGCGAGTGATGTGATCATAATGCCACTCCATCTCCTCAGCATTAGTGTCCAGCAAAACACCCCATTTATCCGCCTGGGAAATAGCAGGCAGGGTATTGTCGAAACTCAGCGTTCCATTCCACAAGTATCTTATGCATTCGTATTCATTCACCTGCCAATCTTTCGTCAATGTGAACGCGAAACGGCGTAGTCGTGGCATCGTGTTCAGACGTGAGATGAGTTTCTCGAAATAGGGGGCCTGCCATACATATATACGTCAGTAAGGAAACATCAGGAAAAAGGTTATCTCTCACAATCTTGGGCAAAATCGATTTCCGTGGAATATGCCCAACGTGAGATTTGAAGCCATCAGTGTCAAGCTGATCCAGGAAGAGCGATTGCAGGTGTGGAAAGTCACGGCTCAATCGACACATGTACTTGTCATCAATACAGGCTAGAGTCCGCGATTCCGTACGCATCCCACTCATATCAATTCTCAAACCTTTCACCGACGAAAGTGTTGATCGCAAGATGTCTCGAGGGCGCGCAAAACTGGCTGGAGGAAAGTGAACCGCTTCAATACTACAGCGAGAAAATTGACGCATTATGGTACCGAAGGCCAGGGCATTGGTTGGACTTGGGAAGTCCACGGTCTTGGGGCCATTCCATTGTGGTGTCGTGCGCAATAGATCCAATGCAGCCTGCAAGTGAGCATGACCAGGATGACGCGTAGCAATTTGACCGTCGACACCAAAGTCAAAGGCAATCATATGGGTTGATGATAGCTTGGAAACAAACTTGCTCATAGTCTCCATTATGTCTTCCAGGAGGTTTGCTTCGTTAAACCCTTCGGCGCAATGGCAAGCTTCGAGGCTGATGGTAACAAGCCTAGGTGCATCATCAGTCAGCGGACCGACGCATCGGATTCTGGGATGGAGTGAATACTTGGTAGATGAAAGAATAAGCTCCATCAGATTTTGAGATTCGCCGCCCAGCAGAGATTTCATATCATGAGCTATCTTCTCCAATGTACCAGAAAGTATAATCATCTTGAAAAGGCTAGGGGCGAGGGCAGATCGGAGACGCCAGGACACAAAGGTAATGACTCTGAAATCATAGCAATCAAGGTTTGATGCAATTGTAAGAAGAATTTCGACCGGCATCTCCTCCAGGTTGTTCATTGATGATTTTGTAATAGAATCGTCCATGGTGACGGTGACGCCTTCGTCTCACTATTCAAGGCCCATGGTTATGAAGAGGGCGGCAATATTCTGGCGTTGGCAAGATAGAAATGACGAAAAGATGATGCGGCGTTGAAAGTGCGATGAGTTTTCAGAAGCGAAGAAGCTTTACTGGAAGTTTGGGCTGAGACTTATGGTGATCAACAGAATGATTCATAACTTAGATTGGATCATTTCGAGGAACAGCAGAAAGGCTCTCATTTATAATACAGTTAGAATATTCCCATACAACTAGATCTTAAGGTAAAAGCTTCATTCAGGCCCAGTCGTCCAAGTTCCAAGGGTGAGATCAAAGACAAACATACTTTCAAGTCTGTCGACTACAAATAACACTCTTATAAACACATTTAAGTCAGCATTTCGACTGCCTACGCAATTAACTAAAGCTAGTGAGGTGACATGAGTGAGTCGTAATTCATGCTTAAAATTCCTTGCCAGTGATTCTCACAGCTTAAGGAATAAACTTTTGATTGGCATCTTGACAGGTGGCTGACGACTGGCAAGTTTCATCGGATACGCTTAAATTGAAGCTTAAGCCAGGGCTTGTTGTGCCAAATGGCTCCGTCGATGCTCGGATTAAAGTTAGCTCATTGGAAAATCTTATGATTGATTTCTGACTTTTCCAATCACAACCTTATGAGGACATCCATTTGCTGAAATATCTGTCCTCGTCAGACACTAATTATACTTTCAAACATGGAAACTCTATCAAAGCTCTCTCTTCATAGACTGATCTATATAAACTGTCTTTCCCCTCTCTGATTCTTCGCTTGATCCTTTCTTATCCTTCTCCCTTACTTTCAAAATACACCAACATCTCACCAACAACATCACTCAGCTCTTGTTATCCTTCTCCCATTCTGTTTACATCTCAGCAAAAAATACCAGTCAGCTTCAAATAGCCACACGACTTCATCATGACTTTACAATACGTTATCGTCTATATCTGTGTCATCATACTCGCCTATAACATGTTCCGTGGCTTGGTAGAGGAGGTCCATCCTTTAGGTATGAAAGCAACTGCTCTTAAAGGCAAGTACTAACGAACAGAAGATCATGGGGAACTTGATGGAGAAACAGATGACGAGGATTGGGAGACTGATGAGGATGACTCTGACGATGAAGATGATGATGATGATGATGCATCGGGTATGCATCCTCACTCATGGTAGTCTAGGTGCGTATACTAACCAACTATCAACAGATGATGAAGGTTACGTTTCTGGGACATGCCAAACGTAACAGTCAGAGAACAGACTGGGCTACTTTGGTGCCATATACAACATATCAATCATTTCAGACGCCAAATCATTGTTCAGCAACGGCAACGCCGTCGAGATTGGAAGTCATTCTTACATTTCAAAGGTAGATCCAATATAAAGTAAAATTTCAGCGATATATACCTACTCTTCGGGCGCTAGACAACAGCTTTGACGGTTTTCCCTTCTAGATTGGGTATACCTCCAAGGCAGTGTGAACCTGGGAATATCTGTAAGCCTTAAAAAATGGCGGGACAAAACACTGAGGCTACATGAAAATCGTTCGCCAGAGTTCGTGGTCATTAGTTATATATTCTTTTGCGTTACTACATATGAAGGCAAGCATATCTATAAATTCAATACGAGTTTGCTTTGAACAATCATCTCTAAATCTCTATCGCCGTGCTCACAGTCAGTGTTTGGGTAAAGATGCAAGTACAGGATCAGTGATTAAAATGGGTAAGATCTTCGCAACGGCAGGGTTGCATCGAAACTCTCATGGCCCAGTCAAAATGTTACCTCCTCCCCACAGAACACATCACCCATACAGGAAATGGTGGGGGAGTCAGGCAATGCGAGATAAATAATTTGACCGCCATCTGAGTTTTCTTCTGCCACACACTGGTTTACCTTTCTGCAAGCTGCAGTCAGACCGAGACCAACAGATCTTACCTGTCAGATCTCTTGGCCATTTTCGCTTATCCTCACAATGTATTCGCCAAAATCTCCCGACAAGTCACCAAAGTCTCCTCAGTCTCCGCCTGGGGCTGTGGAGGCTTCCGAAGCCCCCGCGCAAGATGGGTTCATTCAGCCTGTCAGTCATAGCCTTTTGTGTAGTCCTACTACCCTGCTGATGTACTCTTTCAGGATACTGATTCTGACTCTGCGTATTCTTTGTCGTAAGATTGCATGCACTGACACTGGGGTAGGCTTCGCTAATCTGGCCCAGAACGGATGTCAGTGATACCGAGTCCCTGCGTTCTTCTATTTTGAACTACAAGTGGGTTCATGGTAGACGCTTCCATGCATATGGCGACGGAACTTACTGGTGAGGTCCCAGAACACACAGTTAGTAATTATTGCTCACGCAATTAGGGGCGCAAATGACGATCGCCAGCAAGAGGCTGAAGACTTGATGCAAGTCCCACTTCCAAACGGTTTTAATCTCATTCTTTCTAACAAAATTCAGTCATGAATTATTTCGGGCGGTCCTCGACGGCAAGCTATATGAAGCTCCGATCGGCAAGAATCCGCAGGTTCGTCACTATATAATCAGTTCCATCCCCAGTCACTGAGTCTCTTAGAATGTACTTGATGTCGGCTGCGGTACTGGTATTTGGGCCATGTGAGTAGCCATGGTACTACAAGAGTGTCTCGGACTGATGATACCAGTGATATGGCCGACCTGCACCCATCAGCTGAAGTCATTGGTGTCGACCTCTCGCCGATCCAACCAAACTTCATCCCACCTAACTGCAGATTCGAAGTGGATGATATCAACAAGGAGTGGACATTTCCCGAGAATAAGTTCGACTTTATTCACATTCGCTACATGACAGGAACCGTCCCAGATTGGACAGAGCTTCTCAAGAAGGCCCAAAGGTAGACCACGCACTCCATGCCATCTTTAAAGGTCATTCTCTCACACTATACAGGCATCTTAAGCCGGGTGGCTGGATCGAGCATGTCGAACTCTGGGGAGACGCCAGAGCCGACGATGATACCATGAGCCCCGAATCTCCGCTCAAAACTTGGGTCAAGATCTTCAACCAAGTAGCAGAGAAAGTCGGCAACCCCTTCTTCTGGAACCCCGCCGAAGTATTCGAGAAGGCCGGTTTAAAGAACATCACCGAGAAGAAAGTCAAAGTGCCCATTGGTACTTGGGCGAAAGATAAGGATCTCAAGCAGTGGGGTGCATGGAACCGACAGTTCCTGCTACAAGGATTGGAAGGTTTCTCTATCCGCAGCTTGACGGAGCTTCTGGAAGTACATCTTTTACTTCGTCTTGCGTTGTGAATCAGCTAACATGTTGGATCTTAGTGGGAGTACGAAAAGGCACAGGTATTTCTTGTGGAGATGCGCAAAGAACTGTTAAACCCAAAGCTTCATTCATACGTCTTGGTGTACGTTGTCAGAAATCTTGGAACCAATGTCCTTAGAGGCTAACATTATTCGCAGAACTACTGTATACGGTCAAAAGCCTGACGAGTAAGTGGGAGGATCTGGAGAGTTTGGTGACCTTGTGAGCTATGGGGTATTATCAATCATGACTATTTCTGGCTGCTCTTTGGTGCCTAAAGATGACCTGCGACTGTAACACTTGTTGTGCTTGCGATGAATTGCAGCATTTCCTTGTAATTTGACTCAATCGGCTGAGAAATTAGCCCGTCCAGCTTGCCAATACTGCCATATCCTTGTCGTCAGATTGTACCAACTAAAGTGGGCTGGTTGTTCTCTTGGTGCTGGAGCTTCTTCTGACTCCTCAGTCCTGTGACCTTTCCGTGTTAATTGTTCTCTGGGTGACAAAGCCTCTCCCAGCTCCTCTCAGGCTCGTAAATCTCCCATGATTGAAGAGTTTGTCTATCATCCCTGCGACGCTGCTTCTCCTGGGCTACCAATTTACAAGTCCTGTCCCAAATACTATAGTTGTCCCTTTGGCAGATCCAATTCACCGTTTGTGGCCACTGATCAACCTGATCTTCTTTACCCACGTAGCTATTGCGGCAGCCTTCGATATTGCAGGTCTCAGGTACGCCAGCAGGTCCATTATATACATATGACTTCCTATCCATGGCATGAAACCATTCGTGAGACGCCCAGCCCACTTCTGCATCCGAGAAACATATCTTCCAATGGTAATTGACAACAATGCATCTCTTGTCGTATCTGCAGTGACCACATGCTATTCTGTCGGAGCCTAGAAGAGCCAAGTTGTGTCTACGTTGGCGATTCATGTGGCCCCAGCCACCACGGAGCTTGATAAGATCTTCTTCTGATGACACTACCTCAGAGCGGTCGATCTCGGAGATGACGCTCCATTCAGGTAACGTATTAGGGCCACGTTGGGGTAGGAACAAGTGTCCTCCATTCTGTCGAATCTTCCGAAGTGAGTTGTTGAGCTTATGTCGGTGTAAATAGCCACTTTGGTGGAGGAGAGTTCGATCGCTACCCGAATGAACTTGCCATAGAATGTGTAGCATAACCAGGCCGTCAGATTTTGCGGCAAATACTCTCGGGGTCTGGTCGGTATAGTCGAAGCTGTCGTTGCATGAAACCTTATGCTCGGGATGGTCACAGCTCGTTACAAATACCGGACGGTCTTCAGGCACCTCGCTGGGCAGAAGAAGTTTTATATCAGCCCGGGTGAGTGTTTTGTGGTCACAAATTCGGATATAGCCCTCGTGTGCAATACAGACTCGTCCATTCGGTAGCTTTGCTTGGTCTTGGGAAAAGCATGATGAGGGGTGGTCCCTCTCACAGGAGTGGCAATGAAGGAGCTCTTCGGAATCACAAGGCGAAAACTTGCAAGTCGTCGAGTAACCAGCCTTGATCCTGTCCTCCCGACTTTCCTGGCAGTTCTTGCAGGTGGTGTAACTTCTGATGAAATCCCCAAGTCCTCCAGCCCCCCATACTCCCTTGGTCTTCAGAGCACCTTGGACTCTGTACACCCCTCCACCGGGCTTATAGTCAAAACAGTGGCGTCCACCGGGTGGACAGATTGGCGACGTGTATTTGTCTTTGTAACCATCTGCACACATTTGACAGCACCCTTGACGGGAGAATGGATGGTGAATAAAGTCATCTGCATGCAATAGACGTCTAAATCGGCGAGAGACCTGACGGAGGGCGAAGAAGGCGAAGAGCGATGATTTGTCATTTGGGTCCGATATGCCGGAGACGATCATCAAAAGGAGCTCATCGGGGAGTCTTTGTAACATAGAAGGTTCGGAAGGGCTAGAAGATGTTTGATCCTTTTGAGGTCGTGTGAACAGAGAAAGGTCAATGCCTCGAGTCGGGATCAGTGGCTCCCTTCCGATTTGTCTCTCCATAAGTGACTCATTGCGGATCTGTAGCATCTCGACTTCTGGCGGTCTTTTATCCCATGTGAGATCCAAGTATGCCGCGCGATGTGCCTCTATGTCTCCATCCATAGGTGAGTCACTCGGAACTGTCTGCGGGTTGGCATTTTGACCGCCTTGTGTGGTGAGAGAAGAGCCACCCAGAGCAGAGTAATGCGGGACAAGATGGCCGCCTTGAGCAGGGTAATGCGGGACAGGATGGCCGCCTTGAGCAGGGTAATGCGGGACAGGACCACCTGGAGCAGGGTTGTAAGTGACAGTTATCATCTTGTGCCGTGTCTTCAGAAATAAAACTTGAGCGAAAATGCCAAGAACTAGAGGGAGATGAGAATAAAAGTTGAAGGACAGGGAAAAGGTGTCGACAGCTCTATCAGGGCCTAAGCCCTTGCCATGAACCTTTTATCAGTAGAACCTCTATCGAGCTGTCATTTATCGCTTGTGTTCGCAGCCTAAAGCTTAACGTTAGAGGGAGCAGTCAGCCACATCATATTACTAGAACCCGAGTGTGTATGGAAGTTCAAATGTTCATTTAGTCAGCAAATTTGATCAACCTCCCGCAGCAAGGATCCAAGCCACTGGGTCAAAATAACACATCAGCTTTTTCCCTCTTTCAGGCAGAACAGACTCTCTTTTTCCCGTGACTAATATTAACTCTTGATAAATAAGCTATTAAATATCTGGTTTAATCCGTGACGCGACCATCCTGATTCAGTGCGTATGGAAGTTAGGGCTTCTTCTCAAAGTTTAATGCGAGACTTTACGATCTGTCTCGCTAAGAATTTATAAGGTTCACACAAACATCATGAATACGAAGCCCAAACGTATTCGCCATAGTACACGAGTGTCACAGTTTACCAAGGCTCGTCATGTCATGTTTGGGTATCTAAAGTCTCTTTAGGTACGACAGTAGCACTATAGGCTGGACCCATGTATCAACATCGCTTGCTAGTCATGCTAATCATCACCCAATATCCATTACATCAATTCAGAGCACCATCAAACAATTAAGGCTTCTTGGTTCCCTCGATCTCAGGTCCAGCAGTGTTGGTGTTGACAGGAGTGACAGCATCAATACCCTGAAGCTTATCAGTAGTCCTGTCGGGTCCAACAATCTCGAACACTGTTTCATAATTAGTAGTGGCTCATCAATAGACACTGGTGATAACTTACAGTCAACAGGAGTGGAAGTGAACTTGCGAGCGTTGACCTTCTTCTGGAAGAGGTAGTCAAGATCGGCAAAGCTACGGTTCATGGTCTCAGGCAGGAAGAAGAAGATCCAAACAGCCCAGATGAAGCAGAGACCGAAGTAGAACATTCCAGTCTTGGCTCCCCAGTTCCAAGCATCACTGCTGGAGTTGAGCATGCGGGGGTTAAGCTGCTGAACAATGATCTGGCCGCAGACGTAGACAGCGCGACCGAGGACGATGGTCTGAGCGCGAACACGGTTGGAAGCAGTCTCGGCAACGACGACGTAAGTGGTAGGGCCGAGAGAGACCTTGAAGATACACTGAACAACGACAAGGAAGGCAGCTGTGACGATGGCGACACTGTCGACCTTGGGAACAAAGCCGAGAATACCAATGATCAACATGCAGGCACCGATACCAGAAGAACCAAAGAAGTAAAAGGTTCGGCGTCCGATCCTACCCATGAGGAAGATGGCGGTACCAGTGGCAATGATGTTGACGGACTGGATGATCATGTTGTAGTTGAAAGCCATAGTGTTGCTCATACCAATAGACTTGAGCAAGATAGCGGCGAAACTGGTGATGGATTGACCGTTGAGGATCTGGATGACCCAAGCCATGCAGACAATACCAGTTCGGCGAAGGTTAGTTCCTCTGAAACAGTCCCTGAAGCTGGCAGCCTCAGCCTCAACCTTCTCCATCTCGTTGGTATGCTTCATCAGAGCAAGAGTCTGAGCCATAGACTCATCAGTGTAGTGGCCCTTGCGAGCAAGACGACGGAGAGCATGTTCAGCAGCCTCGAGCTTACCCCGACGGATGAGGTACCAAGGAGACTCGGGGGCGAAGAAAGCGACGGTGATCAGAGGAGGAATCCACATCCACTGAAGACCGTAGGGGACTCGCCATCCAGCGTCGCCCTTGAGGTCGAGAGAGCCACGGAGGACACCAGTAGCGAGGAAACTTCCGGCTCCCCAGCACATAGAGACCCAGGCGGTGAGGTAGCCACGGAGGGCGGCGGGGCAGATCTCGGCGGCGTAGGCGGTGGTGAGGGTCTGGAAGATACCCCAGGGGATACCACAGAGGAGATTACCGACGAGGAGCATTTCGACGTTGACGGCGAAGAAGAGGACGAAGATTGTGCAGGCCATGAGAGACATGGCGAACTGGTGAGATTAGTAAGGGTTCCAATGAGAGGCGATGAGAGATGACATACCATGTAAACGCGTCGAGAGCCAAACCGTGCTTGCAAGTAACCATTGATCAAGAGACCGATGATAGAACCGCAGTTGTTTCCAGCACCAATGGCACCCTGCCACTTCGTAGAGATATGCTGCACGCCATTGGCGTCAGGCCAGCCGAAACGCTTGAGATAAGCAGGATGGGCGAAGAAGTTGTTGATAAGACCAACATCCATACCCTCCATGACCAAAGCAACACTCAGAAGCATACTAAACGCCACAGCAGGCGCGTATCGCGAGAACAGCTCCTTCTTGGGGAGGAGACACTCTGCATCACTGGCAGCCACGGCGGCCTCGATGAGCTCGACCTGTGAGCTGTAGCCGGAGAACTCAGTGTGGTGCACGGGAGCTTTCTGCCCGTCTTCCACGTGGGCTGTTTCATTGGGAGGCGCCATTGCTTCGAGTTCTGTCAAAGGGGGAAGAATGAAGAGGGAGGAGAGAGATGATGCTCGAATGCAGATCTGGGGAAAGAAAACAATGGGGAGGGAGGGATAGCAGGATAAATATAAAGACTCCGCATTTGTTCTGTGGACACCGGTCTGATGATCAGGCAGGGATATCTCGGTGGTACTTCCCCACGGGGCACTGGTCCATCAGTTGTATCTTCCCCGCATTGGCAGCGAAATGGTTCAGTGACTTCGGTGTCGATAACCCGAGGCGACGCGCCATTCCTGATCCAGGATTGAATGTCCTGTTTTCTTGGCAATTCGGCGGAGAGCAATCCGAGTGAGAGGGCACTGAAACGGGGTCGATTAAGGTTAAGCTGTTATTAACGTTTATGGTGTCCCCATGGGGGTTCCCACGCGGACTCGGGGTCCATTTCTGGGGTACGAAATGAGAGGTTTGACAGGTTGAGATGGGTATTTGATCTGCCAAAGGTGTATTCCTTGTCTATTTCATGGGAATCATATTGATGCTTAATACTCTCAATGATGAATGAACTATACTGTCTCCTCACTGGTGTTGCCTTGCATGCTGCATCTCAACAACCCCCCCCATTCCCTGGCAATGACTCCTCTGGTCGCTGGCAAAAAGGCCTCGGCTAACGTCCTCCATACGACGGCGCGGCAAATGCCGTGTCATATCCCATTGGCCGATTTTCCGTGTCTGACTCTCTTGGCCCGCGAGTCTAGACCAGGTTGAGCTCTCAGCTCCCTCGACTGAGTCATGAGACACCATCTCGACTAAGATACCGGAGAAGTTCGCTATTTATGCCGAAAAACGGTCGATGCTTTTATATATACTCTCCGCATGACTTGCTTAATACCGTGGTTCGCCGAAGAGCTCTTCCCATCGCCTCAGCTCCAAGACTCAGACTCAGAGGACAACAGGACAAGGATGAGCCGTGAACCAATAGCAGGCCCTTGATGCCCCCATTCGACGTTGCCTTTTCTGTCGTCAAGGTCGTGTCACTCAAGATTTGCTTCCCCACAGCGGCCAACCCCAAAGTCTGCCCCCGATTTTTCCTGCACAAGCTTATTTTAAAGGAGGTCCAAGCGCATAAAATTGTTGAGCTAGCTTGGCTTATGCAAGCCACGAACAGCATCGTACGCTGTCTCCTCACAGTTTCTCAGCAAGTTTCTATCAGTGCCAACATGACTGCCGTTATCAGTGACTTTGAGCTCCGTGAGGATAAATATTTGTCCAAGAATAATACTAAAACTCGCCTGATGTTGCCCAGATTATTGCCGTTGCGCCCTGAAACTGTCTTGAATGCAACCCTGGCTGATCCTCGGCATTTCGGTCGAGTTCCATGCGCTCTCCAACCGTTTGGGCCAAGTCCGCGCCGCCCTGAGATGACATATTGGGGTTGGAGCCCCCAAAGTGTCTCTCGCCTAACCTTTCCGTCGTTGCATCTTGCATCGCCAAGGCTTCAAACCGAAACTCTATGCTGAATCCGAGGGATTGGGCCGCGCCTGTGCGTCGACGGCGATGTTTATTCTGTATCGGTACGCGTACATGATGGTTTTGGATGGTGATTGTGATGATGGAAGCCAAGATTGGCTTTGGGGTTCCTGGATCTTGCCCCCGCACTTGGCAGATTGAGATCTTGAGATTTGGGAATCACAATAGGTTTCTCGCTTCAGAAGGGGCCGAGAGACATGAAAGTACGGAGTAGAGACCTCTTTTCCAAATATTAGTTATGTAAGAGGTAAAAATATCAGGACGTTGTCTCGAAAGCTGTACAGCGGTGAGGCTTGCCAAACTGTTAGATGGCAGGGCGCTGGGCATGCTCTACCGCCGAACAGCGATGCTCGTAGCCGACAGACTAATTTTAAACTCTTTAAGTTTAACCTAGCGAAGTTAAAGTCATGACATGCGAGTAGCCAAGAGATAATGTACCTCAAGTAATAAGTCAGTCGATTGTAAAAATGCTAGCTGTCAAATTGAGCTCCTCCATGCAATTTTGAGCCTCACAGGATCTTGACAGCTCGGATTGACTGCACGATCCCAGATGACAGGCTATGATTATGGAGAAAGGTCGCATTGATTCATCATGGGTTCCCTGTCCTTTCTGTTGAGACTGTTGAAGGTGCCTGACGGTGGTTAGCTATGTAGACCAGGTAAGTTCTGCAACTGCAGGGTAGTCAAGTCATCCACGAATGCTTTTCTCATTTGCCCTTCAAGTCCGCCTGGATGTATCATTGAGCATATCTACAAATCTACGGGCTCTCTCTTCCTCAACTCAGTTAACATTGAATAAGAAGCGGATTAGTACCCGTATTGCCGGGTTGTCCATCAAGCCTGCCCACTTTGCCAATGTTCGGCACCCCATACCCGAAAGATCAACAAGCAGATCTTCAACCACTGTATCAAAATCTGTGGAGTTTATCCTTCGCGTGAGCAACTGTCCATTTACGATCTCTTGGCGCCTAGTAGGACCGAAAAGATTGATCACTTCTTCTGCACTGCAACGTTTGATGTGACACTGACTTCCCCGGAGATTCGTGCCACATGCTTCGCTGTCAATTACCCCAGGATTGCGAGTGAGATCTCCAGATGGAGCCGGGATGTTTCCATGCGACCCAATAGTGGGACAGGCCCCTGCGGCGCAGTTGGGTGAAAACAAACATGTCAAATGAAAACTTGGCGGAGATTGCGGCACAGTTATCTCGAGCCATTTGATGAAATGCAGCAAGAATACGTAAGCAGCTATGTTGTTGGCCTGGCTACTCTTTGGTATCTGTCTCTATTCCATGCCAGAACGTTATCGCTCGTTTGTGTCAAGTTATCGACAGATATTATTTTTGACATGGTAGATTTTAATGTATATGATTTCTACTTTTGTGACACTGACCATGTTGAAATACATTACCTAGTCTCTTTCCTGTGATTTACATATACACTGATGACTACCAATCAACACAGTAATGGTTTGGAACTCCAAGGTACTTATTCTGGCTATAACATTCCAATCCTTGAGGTTCTTGTCCACTTTTTTCACAGTCCGATCTTTGTTTCGCATGATATTTAAGGCTTTTGTCAACCTAGTCAAGCAGAGGAGTAGTGGTGGCTTCGTTATTGTATATTGGGTAAGCAGGTAATTCTAAGATTACTTCTTACTGACTGCGTTACTACTGCTCTGCTGTAACATCTATAGACCTAAGACTAAGTTCCCTTACTAGGACATAAAGCCTGGGCATTTAGTTGCCCTTAGGCCAATCTGGCGATACCTGCCCTAGTCGTATGGTGACCATTACCTGAGTAACCGAAGAAGGAGTCCAGTTGGGGTATGACCAGACAGTTGTTATCTCTTGATTGAACTTCGAGTTGCCTAACTCGGCGTAGTCAGAGAACGAATTGTCATTACGCGTACGCGGATAAATAAGTATTTTTTTTAAAGCAACAGAATCGCCAATAGTTCCCTTTTCTCGTCTTCTTAGTCAGCCGTGATGAGCTGCTATCGCAGACCTCCATCTTGGAACAGAATTTAGAAGGGGCCTTCCTCTTCACTATGTCTTCGGGAAACGGCGATCGTGGTCGACACCTTGCGCATAGCCCAGTTACAGAAGAGCGGCTTGTCACATCTCATGGTACAGCTACAGCTATAGTTTCCCTCTCCCTCGTTAGGACCATCGGCTCTACAGAGATCCATTCGCCAAGAATCGGAGAAAGAGGAGATTCCGCGTTTGCATTTCCACCAATCTGAAAGCTGGGTGGATTCAAGGTGCCAGAAAAGTGTATTGGCAGAGGATCAAATGTTGGTGAGATCAGATTGGTCGCATCCATCGGGAGGAGGCCATAGTAAAGCGGATTTGGTTCATCTCGCAACTAACCTGATGTAGAAGTTATGATATTATTAAAGTCGAAGGGCGCAACATCACCAAAGAGGTAAGGCTGTAATAAGTCCAGGTACTAAATTGCATGGGTGCGATTCTTGCTGTAGAAGTTCCGTGTTACCGGAATCATTTGGCTCACCTTGATCATCAAGATCATTCAACTTCTCAGTGTACTATAATGAGTCTCTCGCACCTCTGTTCATCATGAGCTCAGATATTGTTCTGATGATGGAGAAGTGTTCCGTCACAGGACTGTGTTCTATTACATCCCATTTACTACTAGCAGCAGACTCATTGTGCTCTCACGTATAACATGTGTTCGCGGCCTAAAGCTTAACGTTGGGTAGTAGTTAGCTCCATATGCGCCCGAGAATGGAGTGACGGCTTGTACCATCACCCATTATGTGCTCTGAAAGCAGCTCGAAAAGCGCAACGCGAGGCTTCATGTGGTAGTTGATTGGTATTGGAGACCACGTATTGCGCCAGAGGCTTGTTGCCTTGAGTCTGATGAGGCTCTTGTTTGTGATAGAAGGCAAGCAATCGTAAACTGAACACCTAACTACAGGGCAGTTATTATACGAGCGGTGATAGGCAAGTATATGCATCTTCTGCGGCCGTGCGAGGCCAATGATTCACTGCCTCAAGAAATTTGAGCTAGCTCTTTTTGGCCAACCGGCGAGCTGCCAGTAGGTGTTGTTAAGTTAACTCTTGTCAACGCTCCCCCTTCGCTTACTAACGAGTACCACCATCACACCTGCTCACTACATCAACATCAACATCATGGCCGTCAGACTAGCCAAAGCTTCTGATCTTGCCGCCACCTCGCGCATCGCCTTCCGGGGCTTCAGCCTATCTCCATGGAACGCATCCTACCGCCCTTTTGCCTCCGCCTACCCCCAGGACGTTGAGAAGAGCAGCAACAGGCTCTAGGTGATCCAAGCAAGCTTTTCACCGTCGTCCTACAGTCTAAGCAGGTGGTGGGCTTTGCCATCTGTAACTATGCCCAGCAGCAGCAGCGAAAGAGTGACACCGTAGCCATCGACCTCACCGATGAGAAAGGTTCTTGATCCCACCTCATAGCCGACTGACAACACTCCCTGACTGACTGAACCAGACCGCAGTGTTGATCCTTACCGAGCCAGCATCCTCTTCAGCGCCACAGAAAGTGCAGTTCAAAAGTGAGGCTCTCACATCACTTCCGATCCGTGAATCCAAGCCAGATGACACCGCATACTCTAGGTACCTAGGCGATCACATGGAGCTTGACAACATGGCAATCGACCCTGACCACTTCCGCAAGGGCTACGGCACTCTGCTATGTCGCCACGGTATGGAATTCGCCCGAGAGGACAAGGTCCAAGGTCGGTAAGGTGCAGCATATGTGTAGTACAAAGCGCAGATTAGCACAATGAGCATTCCAATATGATTACTCACTTACTCAGACTTGTCAGCAAATATCACAAACCTCACATTCAGACGCCCATATCCTAACCCGCTCGACATGGGGAGCTAAGAGAATCTAGGACCTTTATCTTAAGTAATAAAAAGACTTGGGTAAGTTTAGCATAATTTAGTAGAACTGTAGACTCCTGCTTTATTTTGGTACGCTGATTTAAGATTAGATGTTTTATTTCCCCACGAGGCTTCGATCAAGGAAAATCGAAGGTCGGTGGGTAATCAATTGATCACTCATCGTCTTCCACCAAATTGGTAGTGGAGGTATTATCGCCTCAAATGAGACGCCCTCTGTCTGGCAATATATCAGGCAAAACTCGGCCATAGCCTCACGTGGTTTAACATTACTTTCCTGTTTATCAATGCCAGGTCCTGCTCTGTCGACATGTACACATGGATTTAATTACAGTCTTAATTTTACCTAATACTTAAGTTATTATAGAGACTTCCATTCTGTGCTCAGTTTACGCTTAGCAGTGAAAACTTGGGATAATAGAGTAGGCAGGAATCATCGTAAGTCTACACTTTTATTCTGCATCAGTCTCTCCGACGCCTTTGACTCCTAATATTTACTGTTAATTGCCATTATGTACTGCTGACTTGCCTCATACTCCTAGTCTCCATGCACTTTTCTCACCAAAAGGCTCGAGTTTTCTAGGTTGCCCTCTTTCCAAATCGCCTCCAAACCGGTCCTTTCTGCCACCAGCGTTGTTTTTGAACCACCAGAACCTGCTGAGTGGAATCTGTATCTCCCCCTTGCCTTTCCAGATGTCTTTTCCGGTAGCCTTCCCAGATCTCCTGTCTATTTCTCTCATCAATGCGAGCCTGATCCTGTTGTTCCCGGGGAAGGGCGTTGATCGCGTCCCGAATCTGATCACGCCGAACCCTCTCAGCCTTGATTGCTGCCGGGCCAAAAGAACCAGGCGAATTCACTACAACGTTGTCAGTAGTCTGTTCTCAGGGTATGTGTCCACTAGGTGTGGTAGTCTTACTGTCGGCGATGGAAGACGCCTCAAGTGACTGTAGCGCGGAGCTATAGTGACTGATCAATCGAATATTGTAAAGGTCTCCGAAGCTCCGTGCAGGAAAAAGACCCATATCGACGATATCCTCCTCAAATTTTGAGAATATCTCGTGCTGGAAAATGAAATGACTGCTCAATACGATATCTGCTTTGAGATCATCGAGCACATAAAAGTTACAAGGGATCTTGTCCCATGAACTTCGGAACTGCCACGTAGAATCGCTTACAATACCAGTAGTGGTATCCAGAGACCCATCGGCATACTCGACGACGTGCCTATGCTCAAGCCCCTTATCAATCTCCAAGGAGTGCCGTCTAGCAAAGTCGGCTGATATGAGCATAGCATCGCAACCTGTGTCGGCGAGAGCAACTGAAGGTATGCCATCAAAGCTTCCCTGCATACAGCATGTATCGTCTTCGACAAGATTAAATCTGAAGCGAGGGGCAGATGTTCTGAACGACTTTGTGATACGATGGGCAAACTTGGTCAGAGTACTTGTAGCTTTGAGAAAGGCTTGACACAGGATGAGGTCCTGAGTGCACTTGGGAAGGATGCAGCAATCAAGCAAATGATCCTCCGATTCCCCCACGAATCTAAAAGGAACATCTACTCTTCCGCAAGATTCAACTGTTGCGCCGGTTGGCAGCCTGAACTCTGCTTCGGTATGGGCCTTCGGCACGAGTCCAAGCTTGTCGACAAGTTGCTGCGCAATAAAGTTACGTTTGGCGCCAGTATCTGGCAATGCGTCGATTTGGTATCTGTCGGCACCTACATAACCTTTCACTGTGTAGTCCGTCGAACTACTAGAATAGGTCTGAGCCCGTCTTAGGGCGGAGAACCTTAGTAGTCTTTCCTTAGTCTTGTTCAAGTTGGATCCCATCGATTTGATCGAGTGGCTCCTCTGGATATGTTGCAAAATATCAGAAAAACCCTTAGGGCGAAATGTTCTATCCTTCGGGCCCACAAATGCTGGGAATTGGTAGTCCAAAGCCAAAGGCAAAGAAGGCTGGGTGGTTGAGCTTTTATCGGTGCTAGGAAGTTTAGCGTTCTGTTGCTCCAGATCGCTTATATAAAGGTCAGCAACTGATAGGCTGTGAGTAATTGCACAAAAACAAACCGTAGCTCGGACAAGGACATGAAGCCAGAATTAGGCGGTGGAGGGGTAAAGCTAGCTGGAGGTTGTGTCTCGGGGTAAGTAAGAGAATCTAGCCAAGGAGATGGAGCGATAGAACTTGTATCGTCCGCCCGCTCGTCCTTTTCTGGGGTGAAGCGGCGGGCGTTTCGCAGAATCAAGGACTCAAAGATCATGGGTCCCACAATGAACTAGATGAACAAGCGGTGCATTGTAATATTGCTAAAACTATTACTGGTGATTTGGGGAAGCGAAAACGTCGCAGGAATAAATGGTTTTGTTATTGGGGAATGTAGATATGCTGATAGATTTTATGGGAGAACCTAAGAAGAGAAAAGAGTTTTTGATTCGGAACACAAAAGGAAGTGACTCGGGGGCATGCTTTTAGTACCTGTTGGCTGGTGGCGGCTGAGCATATTATTGTCAGGCTTCTTGTTGGGCAGATCCAGGCTTCTACCAATCATATTCCTTGTACAGATGCTGATGTTGTGTAATTTCATTGTGCGTTGTAAATTTGCCACGTCATCGCCTGGTGGCTGGTAGCCTCGGATTAGGCTGCAGGCAGAATTGTCCAAGGACGACGTGAATTAGTCTATGTGTGATTCCCCGTGTGTTTGCGGTTTTTTTCAGGCTTTGCTTTCTTGAGTCATACGCTGATGCCAAAGATTTTCGATATCGAGATGAATCCAGGTCAGGCCGCGACGCACTCGTCACTTGGATTCGCAGCCCTTTCGTCTTGGATCGTTTCTGACAGAGATCAAGAACTATTGGTATTTCGAAAGTTTGGAGAAATAAGTGCTCGAAATCTTCTTTATTTGCAATGTGAATTGTTGAGCATCGAAGGCAGATTGAAGGCCTGGGATAAGCACGTTGAAGGTAGTAACGACACCGCACTAGAGCAGGCTGCAGAAACATGGGAAATGATGCACGAACAAGCCGAGGCAGGCAAACCGGAAGCAAAAGAGATGCTGGAGTTAGTAAATCAGCTCCGCGTCAAGATCAAAGAATATCGTATGTAGAATAGTTCAAACTATAAGTTTCTACTTACCTTGATAGATGAAGCCCTGGAACTACAGAGCAAGATATCTCAGCTCAACAGCCCCGATCAGCGAGCCCTTGAAGTGGTTCGAAACGAGCTTCATGGGGGCTCTTTAAGACGAGATGGTCAAAAGCCAAACCCCATACTAGGAGGGAGAGGGAAGGACTACCTGGATGAAGCTGAGGATCTGGTCTCGCTCAAGACTCCAGCAGCGGTCGACCCATTATCAAAATTGCTCCGGGCTTACTGGCCAGGTCGAGTGCGTTTCATTTCTGCAGTTGATTGAGAGTTATTCACTAATACGGACATTTTGGGATCAGGAAGTACTATCACGGGACGGCCGACGTCGGATCAGCCATTTTGACGAACGATCAATCACGGTAGCCGTCGCTCTTGTCAACATACTACTCGCACTGGTCTTACTAGTCGGTTCAATAAGTAGTCTGTACTATGTTAAGTCCGCACCAGCAATTCTTGGTACCATATGCGGGTTTACGATACTATTTGCGTTGAGCGTGGGCTTGATCACAAACGCGAAACGGGCAGAGATATTTGCAGGAAGCGCAGCGTAAGTAACATTCTATCTTCAATTCAAGAGTTACAAGAAGTGGCTGGGTATACTAATATATATGAAACCAGTTATGCGGCTGTCTTGGTGGTTTTCGTTGGCAATGGGGATCAATCGGGCTGTAAGTGCAGCTAAAGGTTGCAAGGACATTGGAGACTTTTGTTAGACGGGGGAAAGTTGTATCTCATGATATTTCGAAGAATGACTAGGCTTCCGTAGCATGCATTACGAAAGTCTATCGTTGTTGATCATGAGTGGCTTGTCTGCGGCATCTTTGCGGCATGTTTCTCCGCCCGAGGCCCCCAGCTTAGCCTAGGTTACAAAAATGAGGTCATATTTATCAGCAAGACTGCTACGCCCTACCAACTACATATCGATCAGTGACCTTTTAAACCCCTCGCAGCGCAGTAAATTAAACAAGAAGAAAAAAACCAAAACATCTCATCTGAATTTAATCACTCTTTGAAAATGTCAGAGAGCTTTGCAAAGATTCCTAAAGGCGCTCAGGTCCAGCCAACACCCTACCGAGTCTCCATTGCGGACGACAAGGTCGATGAGCTCAAGCAGCTTGTGAAGCTGGGAAGAGTTGGACCGCCGACCTATGAGTCAACGCAGAAAGATCATAATTATGGTGTCAACCACCAGTGGCTGACTGATGCGAAAGCTGCTTGGATTGACTTTGACTGGTATGTTGCGTCGTTTGTCTCTACAATTGTATTGCCGAGGTCTGACCTTTGGAACAGGCGCGCTGCGGAAAAGCACATTAATTCCTTCAACCACTGGACAGTACCCATCAAGGATGAGAAGGGCGATTTTACGATCCACTTTACGGGTCTTTTCTCTTCTAAACCCAATGCCGTCCCCGTGGTAATGCTCCATGGTTGGCCTGGTAGCTTCCTGGAGTTTCTCAAGATCTTGTCCATTCTCAAGGAGCGCTATACCCCCGAGACGCTCCCGTATCACGTCATTGTACCGTCTCTGCCAGGCTATGCTTTCTCGGATAAACCGCCGCTGGACAAGGACTTCGGTATCAGAGATGTTTCCCGCATCGTGAACAGCCTCATGGTTCAGCTCGGTTTTGGAGGTGGCTATATCGCTCAGGGAGGCGATATCGGAAGCAGGATTTCTCGTGTTCTCGCAGCTACTTATGATGAGTGCAAAGGTATGTGGTCAAGATTTGAACAGTTCGTGAGGCTGAAGAATACGACTAACACGCTTTTCTATAGCCGCTCACCTCAACTTCTGCCTCATGTCGGAGCCTGCAACTGCACAGGGTGAAGTCTCAGATGCAGAGAAGAAAGGCCTCGAACGTGCAAAGGACTTCGACAAGCTGGGCACCGCCTACGCTTTGATGCATGCCACAAGACCAAGCACCATCGGCCTCATCCTATCGTCATCGCCTCTCGCGCTTCTAGCCTGGGTCGGCGAGAAGTTCCTGAGCTGGAGTGATGAAGATCCTCCTCTCGAGGAGATACTTACCTCGGTATCTCTGTACTGGCTTACAGACAGCTTTCCTACTTCAATCTTTCCATACCGGCAGCGCTTCGACCCAGATTACCCTGGTGCCCACGATCACCCGAAGTGGAAGATCAGCAAGCCATTGGGCTATAGCTGGTTCCCGTTTGAGCTTGCTCCTATTCCTGTGAGCTGGGTGAAGACCACGGGAAATCTCGTATTCTGGAGAGATCATGAGCGAGGGGGTCACTTTGCTGCGCTGGAGAGGCCTGAGGATTTGTTGAAGGACTTTGGGGAGTTTGTGGAGCAGATCTCCAAGGATGGGTCTTTGAAGATCCAGTGATTGACTTGTAGATAGCGGCGCTTTATCTTACTCCAAGATGGGTTGAACGGCCATTCATGATTTAAGTTATGATTAATCAGCTTATAAATTCCAATCTCTCATTACCTTTCGACCTTGATCAAAGCCATGTCAATTATTGAAGTAAGGTACCTATTTCTAACTAGAGGTACCCAGTACATTGATGGTCTCACATGATTGAGCACGTGACACCAGTTCGCGATCTTTGGTCGCGTCGTGGAAATATCGCGGTCTGGGGGGTGTTGAACTGCCTAGCATTCACCTCAAGTACCGTTAGCTGTGGTCATATCTTTTGCTATCTCTTACAGACCGGTTTGTGCAACGACCATGGCCTAGAGGTACGATGTTCGACGGCGAAACGGAGGACGCGCCCATTTTGGCCTTGGCGGTCCGCAAAGCGCGTCATGCCCCTACCGTGAAACCTCTCTCTATATTCAATACCTCCGACACAATGAACACAGCGCTACCGCTGCAATTGCGAACTCGACTGTCACTTGCTACGCCGCATCGTAGCTCCGCTTACTTCAAACCAAGTCTTTGATCCAACGTGTCCCTCCCGAACCCCCCAGATCGACACCGCGCCAATCCTCCGTTGCCCAACAATGCCGAGTGGGACTATGATGCGACCGATCGAGAGAACATAGAGCGAGCAATAGTCGAAAGCTATCGCGGCGGTCGTAGAGGAGGCCTGAGCTGTGTCTTCCGCCAGCGCCACTGCCTTTCCCGTTGTCATATTGCCTTTCGTCGATGCTCTGCTTCCGGAGCACCATCACCAGAAGCGCGAATGAGCCGTGTCTAGTTCACCCCGTGTCGTATCTACCAGCGCTTGCCCGCCTCTCAGTATCGTGTAATCAGGCGTAACCTCCGCTAGCATGATGACACAAGCATTCCGTTTAGGCCATGGACGAGCCCGTCAATCGCACGACCTCCCGAGCACCTCGCACCTAGCATCGTCCGAGCCAGCCCGCGAATACCTCATCCGATTGTGATATCGCTCTGAAGCAGCGCATGCACCGCGACCTCATCCGCGTGATAGCGTTGTAGGTACAGACAGATCGCTGGGCATTCCACCCTCGCTCGAAGCTCGACCCACCATATACTCCGTCCTGCCTTGCGATACCATACATATAGCAGCAATAACGCGACAGGGTCTCTCGCAAGGAGCAGTTCCTTGAAGGCGCCGTCGATTCTGTGCGTGAAAAGCTGTGTTTGCCCTGTCGTAACTTGGCTATTCGGTAGACAAAGGATGCGCGAAACTGCATGCGCAGCGTAGAAATAAGGATTATCCAGCGTAGATGTCTCTTTCAAATGACAGACAGCGGCTAGTTCCTCTGGTATACCGTGTATCCCGATTTCTGGCAAAGGCGCCTGCATCTGGGCAATCGTAACGGCCATAACGCGAAACAGGCTGTCATTTCGTAGAGGGTCCACCATATTCCACAGCGACATCTTCCCACTGATCATAGACACCCAATCGAGGTCATCGTCGCCAGTTTTTAGAGGCCAAGAGTCCTCGGGCCTGTACGCATCAGGTGATGAGAACGTCAAGACGGCCAACGCAGCCGCTGTGCCCCAGATTGGGTCTTTGTCCTGCGTCTTGACAGGTTCGCGTAGCTTCTTGTTAAAGAGCGCTGTACTTTGAGACCAGTGGTAGCATTCCTCTAGACTGCGGGGTGAGCTTGCTGAGGTGTTTAGATAGCGGTCGTATGTAAGTGCCACGGCTAGAGAAGCGTGCATCAAGCAAGGGTTCTATGCCAATTAGTCTACTTGGACACAGTTTGAGCGTAGCTCTTACAGTGAAGGCGAGTCTGAACAGCCTCCGATTGACGTCGATCATGTTCCCATCATCCGGCGTCAAGAGACTTCGAGCGTAGTATCTCGTCACAAAGTCTTGACATTTCGCATTGAGCTGATAGATGGCGTACTCATCAGAGGTCCACACAGCGCTCGCGACGGGTCTCTGAGGCGATGGCTTACATCGAACCACGGCCCTCACGGTGTCGGGAGTAATTGGGTGAAGATCGGGAATGTTGAGCCCAAAGTTACACAATACCCCAAACGAGCTACATTTTTTACAGCGCGGTTTGCTCTCGTCGCACTGACAAAGCTTAGTTGAGTCGCAATGAAATGTCAGGGTAGATTCACCTTGAGTTTTCTCAGCTTGCAATTACGGCATCCGTATCTCGACCGCCGCGCTGGTTTCTTCTGGCGCGTTTGTTCCATGCGATTCGTAGACATTTCCGCAACGCTCTACTAATCGTCGCATTCGGGGAATGCTGTCATTACTGAGCAGATTTGACCCTGAGCTGACAGGATCTGGAGGTACCATCTACGGTATTTTCGCGATGCGCTAACCTCAACTTGGTTGAGGTCTTTCGCGCTAGCTGTTTTGCGGATGCACGACGATTTGATTGGCAGCTTGACGATCCAAGAACTCTGGGTATCATCGCGAAGAGATCAATATGATTTGAGGAAAAGATCATGGAAATGCTGCAATTCAGTTATAAAGAAGTCATTTCCTTCCCATATCTTAACATTCTTTGTCTTTACTATTTCACTCCTCAGACACTCTCAATTACGAGTCAAAATGTCTACTCATCTCGCTGCTATTTGCCCAGGCAGAGGCCAAACCTTCCAAGTACAACCCCGATCCACGCCAAAGCCAGGGCCAGATGAACTTCTCATCGCCGTCAAGTCCGTCGCTCTCAACCCAGCAGATGTCATCATGCGCGATCAAGGTCTTTTCATAACAGAGTATCCTACCGTCATTGGCTTCGACATGTCCGGCTTGGTAGTAGAAGTCGGCCAATATGTTCCAGCTGGCGATGATGGCTTCCAACCTGGCACTCGTGTTGCCGCATATTCTGCCTCCGCTTGGAAGGGATGTGCTCCAGATTATGGCCCTTTCCAAGAGAAATGCCTTGTCCCGTGGCAACATGTTGTGCGTCTTCCAGATCAGACCATGTCGTGGAATCATGCTGCGACGCTGCCTGTGTCTGTGCAAGTACCTCTTAGCGCATGGGACATGATGGGAATTCCTAGATCTTATAATGAACTTCATTCCCATGATCTAGGTCAGGTTGAGAAGAAAGAAGCGCTTCTTATCTGGGGCGCATCATCTAGCATCGGTACCATGGGCGTACAAACAGCTCATTTGATGTGCCAAGATCCCAAGTCTCCCTTTACAGCTGTGTATGCTACTGCTGGGCCGGCCAATCACGATTATATACGCTCACTTGGCGCCGATCGTGTTTTTGACTACAAAAACTCAAAGGTTGTGGAGTCAATTGTCTCTGCCTCACAAGAAGACGCGCTAGTCGTTCGACATTGTTTCCTCGCGATCGGAGATCTTTCTCTGTGTCAGGCTACATTGAACGAGTTCGTTGATTTGAACCCAGCTCAAGGAAAGACCACAGCCAAGATTGGGTCGGCGCCCTGGATTCCAGCGGACGCGAAAGACGTTGACGGAGTTGAGGTTATTTTCGTAATGCCGTCGGCGGTTGAAGAGGAAAGACTGGAGCAGTTCAAGTATTGGATTGGTACTTATTCAAGCAAGAATTTGTTCAATGGTAACATAAGACCAAGCCCAGAACCAACGGTCATAGGAAAAAGTTTGGACTTCATCAACATCGCTTTGGAAAAATTGTCTGAAGGAGTCAGTTGTACTAAGTTAGTGGTTGAAATTGGGGAGTGAGATGGCATCACGGCGGAGCATTATCGGGAAGTAAAATAATTACCAATTAATTAAAAGTTAGTGTGTAGAGTATTCTAAATGAAATAACCACATGAAACGCATTGTGAAGTTCTTTGCGCTGTGTTGGAATCATCTGCGTTATCTGTCCCTATCGTTTTGACGCTATAGGGTAGCCACTCCAATTCCAAGAGGGTTCAATTGCAGCAATCCCAGCAGCCTTCACTTATGTTTCGGAACTTCGCGCATTTGAAAACCTTGTTTCATGGCGCTTGGCTCCAATCGAGGATATTTTTGCGTGGTCCCGTGGATAAAAACGGCTCAATAGATGATAGCGCAAGTCAATGGAAACCTAATTCTTCTTCCTCCTGTCGCAAGACCATGCTCCACGCTCCGATCCTCGGGAGCACAACTACCCAAAACGGACATTTCTTCCAGTGCCCACCAACGCCAGTTACCAAACAGAATGCCCCTGTACAACTCACGTTACCGTGTTGTCACTGTCCTAAGCGAATATTACCTTTGACCATACCACGCGATCGGGTGAAAGGGTGGATCAATTGGCTCCGCGGCCTCGATCGCTCGCTTCCTGACACGAACTTGCCACGCACCAATCAAGACGCCTTACCATGAACCAAGCCAGGTCACGTTGGCCTACATCGATGATGAAATACCCCTCGCCCCGACACCCTCTTCGCAGAATAAACATAAGCATAATTCATTTGGTCTGCGTGTTAGCATAAGCATAATACGCCATAAAAATTAAAGTTAAAGTTCCGCCAAGCCCAGCTCTCACATCAATGGCGAGACAAGTTCCCTTCACCAGTCAATGATGTCTTGCCAAAGTCAGGGGGATGCAAAATTCTCGGTCTTGTCCGACTACTCTAACTAATACAAGCAAAGATCATCCTCCCCTTGGACGCCCCGGTCTGGAGTCGAAAATCCGGGGTGAGTTCGCTCTTATCGGACCGACAGGACACAAAACTCCACGATCTCATGACCCCATTTCCCCATACAAAATTCCTTTCAAAATTCATGGTCTGACGAGAAATCGAAGATCATGTCGGTCCGACATAGCCATCTCGAGAGATTTGAAGCCATCACGAGGCTCAGCTCTTGGCGAAGATGAGCTCAGTCTCGCGTTGAAGAGATGTCGGGCCGACATGTTTCTTGGCGAGACTGGTCCGGGGTGAACCGTCCAGAACCTGGAGAGACGGGTCGTTTGTGGAGATTTAGCATAAGAATCCCCAGATTCCCCAGCTTCTCTCTTGTTTCCCTTTCCCAGCATCAACTTCTTCTTTCTCTCCATACAAGGGATCCTTTTCTACATCACATCTCTTGACAGTCATGTCTTCACCAAAGGACCTCGCTCAGGTTGAGCACGTCGATCCCGACAAGATGACCTTTGAAGAAGTCGAGCGCCCTGCTGCGCGCGAGGCCAATGATCGCGAACATACCCTCACTATCCGCGATGCACTCCGCCTATACCCAAAGGCCATCGCCTTCTCCCTCCTTTTCTCAACGGCTATCATCATGGAAGGTTATGATTTGAGTTTGTTAGGTAGTTTTTACGGTTATGATGCGTAAGTTGCAGTTAGCCTGGTATCGACGTTGTCGACCATGAAACTGACAACCATACTCTACAGATTCAAGCAGAAATTCGGTAACGAAGTCGACTCGAACGGAAACCGTATTGTTTCGGCCGATTGGCAGACTTATATCCAAGTTGGTGGCATGTGCGGTCAGATCATCGGTCTTTACATCAACGGTTGGGTCTCTGATGCTTTCGGTTACAAGAAGACCATGTTGGCGAGTCAGGTTCTCATGATTGGACTCATCTTCTTCCCCTTCTTTGCACCAAATCTTGAGGTCCTCTTGGCTGGAAACATCCTCCTCGGCCTGCCCTGGGGTATTTTCCAGACTCTCACTCTCGCATACGCTTCCGATGTTGCGCCCGTTGTCCTAAGACCGTATCTTACTGCCTACGTCAACCTTTGCTGGGTTATCGGTCAACTCATCGGCGCAGGTGTTCTTCGCGGCTTCAGCACCATGGGCGGTGATTGGTCTTACAGAATCCCTTTTGCTCTTCAGTGGGTTTGGCCTCCGTTCATCATGCTCGGTACCCTCTTCGCTCCCGAGTCTCCATGGTGGCTAGTACGAAAGGAGCGATATGAGGATGCTAAGCGATCTATCCTCTCGCTCATCACTCAGTGCGACATTCCTTTCGATGCTGATGCTCAGGTTGAGCTTCTCAAGGCTACTAACCAGATGGAGATTGAGAACTCTGCTGGAACCAACTACTGGCACTGCTTCATGCGCAGCGATCTTCGACGAACTGAAGTCGCTTCCATCAGCTACACTGCCCAGGCTCTCTGCGGTAGCTCCCTCATGGGTTACGCTGTTCAGTTCTACCTCGAGGCTGGTCTTTCCTCCGAGCGAGCTCTTGACTTTAACGTCATTCAATACTGTGTCGGCGCTGTTGGCGTTGTTCTGTCCTGGTTCCTCATGGCTCGCTTCGGTCGCCGCCATATCTACATCTGCGGCATGGCCGCTCTCTTCTTCATCCTCATTGCAGTCGGAGGCCTCGGCTTCGCCAAGAAGACTGAGCAAACTGGCTGGGCCATCGGTAGCTTGCTTGTCGTGTACACCTTTGTCTACGACATGACCATCGGCCCCATCGCTTATACCATCGTCGCCGAGATCTCCTCCACTCGTCTCAAGGCCAAGACCATCGTGTTGGCCCGCAACTTTAGCAACATCGCCGGTCTCGTCACCAACACCCTCATGCCCCGCATGCTCGGTCGCAACTCGTGGAACTGGGGCGCCAAGACTGGTCTCTTCTGGGCTGGATGGTGTCTTTTGATCTTCATCTGGGCCTTCTTCCGCCTTCCTGAGCCCAAGGGTCGAACATATGGTGAGCTCGATCTCCTCTTCGAGCACAAGGTCCCTGCACGCAAGTTTGCTAGCACCAAGGTTGATCAGTTCCCTACACATGGATCAACAGAGAAGGTCCAGGAGGAGTAGAAAGTCAAAAGACTTGTTGTATTTAGAAAAAGCGCCTGAAGACGTTGAGTGTCTATTTGTATCCCATAGCAATTTATCGCAATACCTGATATCCATTAAATCATCTTATGCAAATGTGTTCCAGCTTACGATCTTTATCCTAAACAATGAAGAGATTTAGGCCTGTAAGGTATACTATAGTGGGTCTTTAGACTACCTTTAGAAGGTTGATCATCCATTCCATTGTGTGGTAACTAATCAAGCTTTGCCCACTGGGCTTGTCGCGACGCGGAAGACGCGTTTTACGGAGTAATTGTCTTAGTCAGCAGGCGTGCACGATCAAATTTCCGTCAACAGACCATTCGTCAATCGACCAATCTTCATCCCCACCACGAATGTCAAGTCCGATAGATGACATACCCCATTGATTCCTCCAGGTTTTAGACGCCAGCCAATCACCAAGACTCTGTGAGCCCAGCAACTGGTACCAGCGTCACTGGCCTCCAGCATGTCAACAACAGGTTACGTCCCTCCGCCCGACCAAACGGCCACTCAACACGAAGGAACATCTTCCTTGGCTATCAATAATACATTGCCTCGTCGTTGGTTGACACTCGTTGCACTCAAAACATCCGCGCGCTTCTATAAACACGATGGGCCTTGCATCCCCATCTCAAAATCTCTCATCGTCAAGAAGGGCCCATTTGTCCACCTCACTGAAGCTGCTACCATGGAGTTCGTAGCAGCCAAGACTACTATTCCTGTCCCAACCGTTCACTGCTCCTTCGTGCACAAGAACCGAGCGCATATAGTCATGCAGCGCATTCAGGGAAAAAGCATAGCAGATGCCTGGAGAGACTTGTCAGACGCTGATCGATCAAACATCTTTGCTCAGCTACGGCGCATGTTTCAGGAACTTCGGTCTCTTACTCCAGCCCCCAATGCAGGGATTGAGAGCTGTATAGGCGGTTCATTACGCGACTCTCGTATACCACGGTCGAGACCAAGATTTGGGCCATTCAAGACTGTTCAAGATTTTCATCGATGGCTGCGCGATGATTTTCAACCTCAAGATCACCCTGACCGTGTCGATGATCAGGATTGGAGAGACATCAAAGAAATGATTATGAAACAAGACGGCCCGTGGCCACCGCCTGTATTTACTCATGGAGATCTGAACCCTTTCAACATCTTAGTACGGGAGGATCAAGTCGTTGGTATCGTCGACTGGGAATTTGCCGGTTGGTATCCGTACTATTGGGAGTATACATCTGCATGGTTGGGAAATCTTATTCGGCAGGGCTGGCAAGAGTCGCTTACCAAGTTTTTGGATTCATATCCTGTGGAGCTAGAGATGGAGAAGACGAGGGACAGATGGTGGGGAGATGTCTGAAGAGTGACAAGTTTGGATGCTTAGAGAATACAGTGAACATGCTTATCTATGTTGTCCCTCAACACTAGTTATCTCGATTGAAGCTCCCACTGCAGGTAAAATGGCAAACACCGCCAGGAAAAGCGCTGTTGGTTGCCTGACAAAACTGAGTCCAAAAATAGCTAATGGCCAACGTGGGTGCCTCCATTGGCGCGCGCGTCGTCAGGTGCAATTAAGCGCCCGTCTGTTGACCCAGAGGTTGGTTGGAAGCAAGAGTCTAAAATAAGTGACCCCCTCGACACGAAGTTGGAGGCGAAGTCATATAAAGCGGGGGACCATCAAAGTACTATAGACTCTCCCTGGTATGCAATACATTTCTCCCATATTCACGCCAGCATTAAACAATCTTTTTACAAGACAAACAGAAATAGAGATATCCTACTACTTCCAATTCTAGCTCTTGTCTTGTCACATCCGCAGCAATGCCAAATTGGGTCCTGTAAAACCCGCCGTCTTTACGTTGCTTTGTACCAGACGAAGGATTCCGTCACCAAGTTCTCCCTTACCTTATGTAATACCAATCGACGGAACTTTCTCAACCTTTCGCAACCAAGACTTCTTCAAATGGTTATCAATAAGAAACGACTCTATGTCGCTTTGTACCCCAGTGGAGTTGTCAACAATCCAGAACGCCGGTAGATATTCCCTGACCAATCTCACCGTTCCTCAACTAATCTAGTAACAGCTACCATTGGGGATTTCTTGTCGGGCCCAAGAAGGAATCGACCCCCGAAGTTCCTGGCATGCGCTACCACGTCAAGAATCTTCCAGTTGGAGGCTGGGTTTATGAGGAACTTTCTCTTCCCAATATTCGAAGCACGACCAGACTTCTCGCCCGGATCGTGATCGCCAAGGTCGAAGATGAAGATCAGCTTGTGGACATCATTCGTAACACACCAGTCGTGCAGAACGACCCGAACTGGCGATGCCGCACCTGGGTCGCTGATGTTTTGTCAAGGATTGCTCAGGACGGAAGAGCTGTTGGGACTTCAGAACTGGATTGGGAAAAGATCGAGTCTGTTGCCCGTGAATATGTCGCGAACAAGATAGAGGCTGGAAGATATTTGCATGGAGAGGACATGTTGTTACCAAAACCGACTTGGGACATGCTACAGGGTAAGGAGGTTGTACCTTAGTCTCTCAAGCATTATTGTTGTAGACTGCCAAGACAGTGAGGCGCGATGTTGGATGGGAGCTTATAACTACCAGAACTTAGTTCATTATTGTTGATAACTGGAGTCAAATACTATTTGATAGTGGAGACAGATAAGAGTTACACCTAACGAGTGACATTTGCATCTACTGTTTGAATAGTAACCTTTCCACTTTGAATTTCAATGCGCCTCAGTCCCAAACTTCTGCTGGAGCCTGCAAACGACCATTTCCTAACTAAGAGTCCCAAAAGTACATCGTAAAGATAGCCAGCTCTAGCACTTGACATTATCATTGCCAGTACTGCAGCCTGTATTGAGGTTCTTGCCAGGATCGGAACTGGACCGCATTAGCCTTTTGCTTCATATGACCTTAAAAGTTTAACATACCCATCCGTTGGAGCCTTGACAAATCCAGCTTCTTCCCAGTCACCAAGACACTTTTGGCCAGAGACTCCGCATGACTGGCACATTCTCTTCCACATATGTGCTATTCCAGTTAGTCATTTCTCAAAGAAACAAGAGCAGATACCTACCTTCTCCCAGATACTTCTGGGCCCAGATCTGACCGACTGATCCAGCAGGGATGTTACAGTCGATCTTACCACCATCGGTCCAAGTGTTTGTAACAGCAAGGCCAAGAGAGACACCCAAGACATCCTTGATGGGGTTCCAATCTAAGCCACCCGAGACTTCAACCGAGACCGATTTGGACCAGCTGATAGTTCGGGTACCTGAACCTTCACTCAAGCCAGTGTACAGACAGCCAGAAGCTGTCTCCCACGGACCCCAGTAGGACTGGGAGTCGCGGGCCTGCCACTGGTCATAGACGTAGCAAGGGCTACTGTACTGACGCTTAGACTTGTCGTTCTTAGTTTCTTTGTCTTCGACTTCTGAGACGCTTGTCAATGGTACGAAGGACTGTTTGTCTTTAAGATAGACAACGCTATCTGAGTTAGGGTGCTTCTTGATGTAGTCATTGAGATCCCCTGAGTCAATGATGAGGTCTTTGGGGTGATTGACTAGGGCACGAGCGTGAAGTTCACCAGCATGAATCTCTCTGGCCTGCAGATCATGGAAACTGGTAAGAAGGCCAGTAGGAGAGGCACTGACGAAGCCATTGAGGGCAAAGAGAAGAAGGCTGGGAAGCATGTTGACAATGGTAAGTGAAGTATATGAGTTGAAGTGATGAGATTGTTCGGTAGTGATGTTGAAACAATGTGAGGAATCGGTGAGAATTTATAATTGAAGCAGCACTACAGTGTTCCAAGATAGGTCATATCTTGATAATGCCTTCCAAAAACCTGCTCATTCGAAGGATTTGCCCCGTTCCAGCAATTCTCACAATCATCACATTGAAGCTATCATCAATTACATCAGTAACCAGACCACTACAATCCACTTCGACTCCAAAAGGAAGTGATCTCGCTCCCTCAGGAGATCAGCAGCGCTTACACAACTGCCGATATGCATAATTGCATATGTCAGCCTAGAAGGATTTTTAAACTTTCGGACTCCAGGCGCTCGCATTATGTTTAAGCTTATTGGATGGACTAGCGCAGTGGACTTTACGAACTACTCGAATAGGAAGGCTGTGCTAGTACGGAATTCCATGTTTTGCATTGCTACTAAAATCCTTTACGATCCTGATATGCAAGACATGGTATGACCTTTCTGCATACGTTTGTAGTAAGCGGGCACTAGAAAGTGGCGATGCTGTTAGATGGGGCGATGATCGAACTAGGCCAAGGCGAAATCAAGTCTAGCCTCCTTCACTCCAGAAGAATTCGCCCACAGTCTCTGCGGAGATCGGTTTGGCATTAGAGGCCTGAAAAGTGTGTAGTGTGAGATAAAAACGGTTCAATCGAGTATTCCAACAAGACACAAGAATTGAACTGCAACGATATTTCTAGTTAAGGCCGCACAGGCAGCTTTCTAGAAGATTTGCCATTCAAACCTGCAGACGGCTGGTTCAAGTAAACGACCAAAGTCGCAAAGAACATATCGAGTTACAATATTCGTGAACTACACACTTACACAAGTCTAGTAGTGATCCGCTTTGGGATCATGCTAATGATGTCAACAGCAAGGGACATGGGTTTGCGGCATTTAGAGCTGGACCACTCAGAGGCTGGGGAAGGCCGTAGAGTTTTGGGGGCCTTCCAAAAAGACAAGTTTTGCATCCCCGAACCAAAGGTAAAGAAACTTAGCTTGCGTTAGGGCTGACTGATCTGCATGCATTGTAAGCTGAAACAAGAATATGGACTCGAGCTTTCTAGAAGATGAAACTGCGCGGGTAGATAAATATTTTGTTCAAGAAAGAGCTTAATCAAAGCCGGGCGGCCTTGACTTCCTGGCTGAAGTACCCATCACATGCCATTGTCAGTAGAGTTTACAAAATAAGAAAATAGAGTGGCACAGCCGTACACCGATCCATTCCCTCTGATGTCATCTTGTGTCTTATGTTGCTCTAGGATTTCCTGATTTTGAAAAGCAAGGAGGTGATTGGGGTAAGTAAAGGCATCTATTTTAAGTGACGAGAAGTCTTAGGTAAATTTAGGCTAACTTAGGTACGTTTAGGATAGCCTTAGTGGGTCTTTAGACTAGTGATACCCTAAGTTTAGATCACAACCCTCTGGCCTGGAAGCAGTAATAAGAGATGATGACCCCACAGACCAGACCGCAATCACTACCACTTGCCAAATTGAGGCAGGGTTCTTTGTTACGTCTGGTGGCGGCACAAGACCTGATCCCTAAGTGGAGCGATCCGAAGGGACGCCCCATCGACATTATTCGTGAACACGAATTGATGGCTTATCTACGTACTTCAGTCGAGCTTGGCCAAGAGATACAATGGAAAAGCAGCGCATACAACGTGCTAATGATTGTGGGCCGCCGACCTGATAGACAGCCCTTTCCAAAAGGAGTTGCAGTTCGTAAGCCCATCACAGCAAGACGGAACAGAAAGGGTACCCCCGTTGCTAAGCGAACACCAGTGCTGGCAAGCGGGATGCAACCGTATCCATATCCAGAGCAAAGATTTAAAGTCTTTGGTAAGGTGTTGTGAGAGGCAGATTGGGAGCGAGAAAATTTCCACTGGCTCAATCGTCTTGCAGACCGACATGCTGACCAGGAGGTCTTGATGGGACACATTACGGCAGGAGTCACTCAAGAACTAATGCCAATTATAAAGGAAGAGCGGCAAGGCAAGCTCTACCTTTTCACCAAGTTGAATTACCCTGAGTTCAAGATCCAGCTGGACGTGCCCCACGAAAGCCATATCGTCCATTATGATACTACTTGTGTTAAACGGTTCTCCGACGAGACTGACTTGACCAGAATGGTCATAAACCTGGTCGAGGGAGCTGTCATCAATTCTAAACCGAGATCTAGGTCCTGTAAAGAGACCAACAGGGTTATGAAAGAGGGGCGTACTCTGATTTCTCATGCCTTCTTGAACGTCTGACAACTCTGTGTCCTCTTTCAACTTCTTAGATGCAACGGGATGTATCTATTTGTAGTTCTTCCCTAGATTTCTCTACGGAAGGCTTCGTCGCGGTGCATCGAAATGCGGTTTGTGTGTCGCTTCTCGTTGTCTCTCCGCGGCCTTATTCATGACCCCTTTCTGAGGCCTGGTGCAAAAGTGTCTCGACGTGTTCGTGAAATTCGCTCGTTGATCTTCCTTCATTGAGAGTCAGTTAGTTGGGAGGTGAAATCGCAAGTAACTAATTTATCTAGCTGGTCGGGAGTTGGCGTTGCCTTTAGAATTCCAGCTCATTCGTATCGTACTCCGGGGTCCCGCATCGATCGGTTTTCCACCCCTCGCGTGTATGAAGCGCACGATGCCTTGAAAATTCAAGATAAGTACGATTAGAATCGTCTTGGTCTGAGTATTATAGATATCGTATTCTTTTTGTGATTAAGGCAAGATCTGGGCGTTCTAGAGTAAGATTTTATAATAGGAAAATGCACCGCCTGGCAAGCATAAGGTGTGGAAAACGTGCCCCACTTTTGCAGTAGAATATCAATCCATAACAATAAAATTTCAACTCTATACAACTTCAACTCCACACGACTTCAACTTCTTAACATCTTGCGGTAAGTTTTGCTTCTCAAAAGACCAAAGAAACCTTGCGTCTTATTTACCAGAGATCTTTCTTACTGATCCCATCGCCAGATATCCGTCTCGCCTATTTTCAATACGCCGCTGATCCCTGCCGCCGTGCGCCATGAAACGCGCCGTCCTCATGCTCGCCGCTCTTGTGGCCACTCTCTTCTGCCTCTGTTGGGGCGAGAGCACTGAACAGAGTGTCTCCTCCGTCAAGCCGTCAGATTGGAACGCTGACTTCGCGTATGAAGTCGTCTCTCGGTACATGCTCCACCCTTTGGAGGAGCTGCCCATGACCTATGGCAGCATGACGTCTCCCGCGGATTCCGAGACTATCGGAACTACTCATCAAGATGCCTGTCCGGCGGATGACGGCGGTCTCAACCCTCCTAGCCCCGAACAGTCCTTCAAGGACCAGGTCGACGACCTGCTCACAATTTTGCGGGATATCTGGTTGTCTGTCAGACCTGCCTTCCCTGGCGCTGGGCGAATCTTGATCGTCATCTCTCTCTCTTCTCCCTCTCGCAGGAACGGATTGGCGCTGCCTGTGTTATTGCTGGAGGCTTCGCCGCCCATGTCCGTAACCAAGTCGACGTGGGAAGCCCATTCCGCTCTTTCTAGCAGAAATAGGGATATCTACCTACTACAACCCCGGATGTTTGGAAGGATTTCGAGCTCGCTCTACAGGATAGATCCACCATGCGCATCATGAAGACCCTTTCGACGTGGTCTGCCACACCCCCTCGTTCTTGTATCTGCACTTCCGATTCTGGCTCAGTGATGGCCCTTGACTATCGCGATGGGTCCGTGGGGGGCTTTCAAAGACTTCTTTTTCGCAATCTTCAACGTACCCGTTTTTATCATTCAACTACTCTTTTCGTTGTTCTGGTGCTTCAGTTCCTGCATCGCCAGAGCCATACTCCTCATCTGCGCCCACTTGGTCGGACTAGTCGGATGCCTCCTTTTACCGACAAGGAGAAGACTTTGCAGAAGAAGGATAAGGCTTCACTGCATCATATCATGCGTGGCACGTGGTGTGAGCATCAGCTGTGGGGTCAATCAACTTAAAACAACACTCTTGTCAAAAATTCAATAAAGTCTTAGGTAAATAAATTTAGGATAATTTAGGCCAGTTTAGGATAAGTTTTGTTTAGGATAAGTGGACTTTAGACTATGTACCCGCTTTATCTCGGATAACAGCCAGGATGATCGTGCGACCTCCTGTTTTGCGACAGAACATGACCTCCTCTGGTCATGAGGCACCTCGGTGAGATCTATACCGAGCTAATCCATTGATCTTCAGAGAATTTGCGGGGTGGGTGCCCTCAAGAGTAAGCAGCAAGATGATCCTCCACATGTGTATGCATGATTGAGGCGTGAGATAATCCTCCTATCAGGTGTGGATATTCCAGAATACTGATTTGCCACAGAGTTTCGTTCAGGAACAGAATAAGAACGTTTTGCTCATCAACAATGTCACCTTGTGACATTGAGGCTTTGAGTCGCTGATACTTAAACATGATGCGCACTTTGTATCTCTTCTACCTACTGACGTTTCTCTTTATTGGCTTTACGAATGCTTGTAAGAATGACAAGGACTGCAGTTTGAATGGAATATGTTCGAGATGGAAAAAGTTCTGCCGTTGCGATCCAGGCTGGATTGGCAGCGATTGCGGCCGTCTTGATCTTGCTCCGGCAACACGACATACTGGTTACAACCACACATACGAGTCTCCCAGTCGTGAAGATTTCGGTATATGGCCTAACGCCTCTTGGGGAGGTCGAATTGTCCAAGACCGTGACAACAAAAGAATCTTTCATCTCTTCACAGTCCAGTTCAGTCATGGATGCGGTCTGAAGGGCTGGCGTCCTCATTCTTACATCATCCGTGCTGAATCGCATAACGGGCCCCAAGGACCATACACGTATGCTCAAGATGTTTCCAAGAACTTCGCACATAATCCAGACATCGTTTGGAGCCCCGCCGATAAGAAGTACCTCTTGTACAGCATTGGTGTGGAATATGATAAGAACTTCACGAAGTGCGAAAGCATCAGCTACACCAGGTGGCCCAATAATATTTCCGTCTCGGCTGCTGACAATATTCGTGGTACATGGTCCCCATTCAAGATGATCCTTGATAGCGACCGGCCATCTGGTATTCACGCTACCAACCCCTCCGCATTCCCTCTCTGGACACACAACAACCCAACCAGAGAAATAGTGCTCGGGATCAAAGACTATTCAATCTTCACTGCCAAATCCTGGAATAGCGATTACAAACTCATATATCAAGCAACATGGAACGTTACAGAGCAAGAAAACCCAGAATGGACCGAAGACCCATTCATATGGCGCGACAGGCGAGGGAACTGGCACTCCATAAACCATTGGATGATAGATTATGTTGAAAACGATAAACAGCAATGGCCACGCGTCGGATCCCATCTCTTCTCGCGAAAGCTCACGGGGCCATGGCATTTCAAGCTCCAAGAGGCTTTCAGTTCAAATATCACTTTTACAGATGGATCGTGGCAGGTGTTCAAGAGAAGGGAGAGGCCAAAGTTGTTTTTTAGTGATGATGGGAAAATGACGCCGTTGTATTTGACTAATGGGGTGCAAGAGATGAATCAGACTGGTGCGGCTTTTACACTCGTTCAGCCAATTGGTACAAAGTGGAAGGAGTTTGAGAAGGACCTGGGTTTCTAACATCTGTACTGTATTCCGTTGTCCCTCCATGGCCAGTACATACACATTCCTCTCAAGGCGAACCAAGGTACTTCAATATATCCGTAGCCCGTGACTTGATCTCTTTCAACTTTTGCTTCAGCTTTTCACCCTGAAATTCACCGGGTAACCACCAAGGAGCAATCTTCTCAACCAATTCTTCCAGCAATGCCATCTGTTCCCAATGATCTTTCTTGATTCCTTCTAAAGGTGTTGGTATGCCATTGCACTCTAGTCGCTTCAGATACGTCTCGTACATATCTTTGGGCCAGTCGCCATTGTTGGCGATGCAGTCATTCAGGAATTCATCGAGTGGTGGAAAAAAGCCGGAGAACTCAAAGTCCACGATACCAGTGATCTGAGGAGGCTGGCCAGATACGAGAATGTTTCGTGGGGACAGGTCGTAGTGGGTGAATACAAACGAGTCGTCTTTGGTATTTAAGGCCCTGACGGCAGTGAGGTCTTGCTGTATGAATGTCTCCAGAGACTGTGTGAGATCTCTGTTTGGTGCAAATGTCTCGTTTGTCTCTAAAGTCTTCATCTTGTTCTGTAGCCTCAGTTTGTAATACTCTGCAATGGAAGCGATACCATCTTGGCAATGGAGCTCTTCTCCAAGCATACCTCTGATGAGAAACTGCATTTCGTGGGTACTATTCGAGCTAGGGATTTCGATGTCAGGCTGACAGTCCATTTGATGAAAGGAAATGTTTCCGGCAAAGTTCTGAGGAGGGACGTTCTGCCGCCAATTCTTAACGTAATCTGCCAGCTGTGTCGCAAGATGAAACTTGTCGTCATTGGTGAGCGCAGATAAGTCGATGGGCGCTCCCGGAACTCTTGTCATCAATATCCAGCCGTTCGGGGGTTCGTCCACATTGCTGAACTTCATCTCCCCGCGCTGCGCGTCCTTGGTGTCGATACCCAATCTATCTTGAGACCAAGCTATCGCCCGAGGTGCCGGTATCTCAGGGCAAAAGTGCTCTAGCAGGCGGAGACAAGAAACCTCGTTTTGAACCTTCCCTGATCCAAAACCACGACCATTGATCTTGAGAACAAGCTCATCGACATGTGCGACATCATTACCGGCCTGGGAGTCTCTGTGACATTTAAGATAGTAGATTCGGTTGTTGAAGGACTTCAAAGAAGGAAGAGCCTCTACTTCTATGTGGGTAGCGTCGGGAAATACGTGGCGCACCAAACGGTCGATGCTCTCGCTAGACATGCGCACACCAAAGTTTGGATGGTGAGGCGGTGTTGATGGTTGCAAATTAGATGACATTTCGATTTCCTATGGGTTACGAGAGTTATATGGGAGAACAGAATGTTTATTTTGATAGATAAGAGTTCAGTTCTAAGATCTTTAAACCTCATATCGCAACTGCGGGGTGACTCATTCCCGGCGCCAAATCTTAGCGACATGGGCTGATGTCCTATCGCTATCTGCAGCCCTCAAGCTATTTCGCAAATATCAACGAGCCTCAAGACTCATCTGCCTTGATATAATAGCAAAGTCCAAAATAACATCCTTCGCTGCCTTACATAAAACTCGAAAGTATCCCCGCATTAATTACCCTGAGAGCCAAGAATGAATGCCTAGTCTTCTTGCTCTGCTTGGCTGAACGTGGAAAGGCATGCCTTCTCTAGTTCTATGGCGCGCTCATCTGTCTCGCTTAGAAGATCACGTAGCTTCTGTCGATATCTCTTGGCCTCCTTATAGCGTTGATGGATCGACCACGCCTTTTCGATATGGTCAAGTGCTTGGACTTGTTCCTTTGCTTTAGAAGCCTTATCGACTGCTTCGGCACGTTGCGCTTGTAACTCTTTAGCCGTAGGCCTTTCTTGGAAGTCGGATGTAGCCTGGAGAAGGGAGTCAAGCAGACTTGTGATGCCGTTGACATATGCCGTTCCAGTACTTGCCAGTACCCCAGCAAGGACGCCCTGATCACTCTGCCCTCTCATCCCATTGCTCATCTCATCTACCAAAGTTTTGCTCTGGTCGCGGATTTGTTTGATCTGGTCTTCTCGCCCTTTCAGATCTGCAAGTGCGCAGTCAAAGCTAGCCTTGTCTGACTCTGCCTTTTCTAAGCTCTTGAGCGCTTCTCCCCGAAGTTCCGCGAGGTGTTCAAGGTTGAGATTCAAGATGAGCTTCTCGTATTTACTGTAGGAAGACGCCTCTTCACAGTTCATTTGATTGAAAGTGCGCTTCTTGCTCATCGGAGGAGTGTCTGGTTGTGCACCTTTTGTGACAGGCGAGGGCTGAGATTGTTCTGGTGCGCCATTGTTCTTAGGAGTGATGTTACCCAGGGTCTTGGGAAAAGAAGGTCTCATTTGCGCTATGGGCGCTTTGCTGTTTGGATCTTGTACAATGGGGTTTGTCTCATCGGAACTGCTTATGTCGACCCTGTTTGCTTTCTCAGTTCCATTCACGAGATCAATGACCGTCCTGTCTTGGGGTTCATTCGTAGGAGCTTTCAAGGTCTCTTCAACTCTCGCACCGTTGATGCCCTGGATGACACCGTTGACTAGTTGGCAGGTAAGGTATTGCGAAGCGTTCTTCTTCATCGCGACCCTGAGCTCACCGTTGTTGGCCCATAGACTTTGAAGATTCATTCCCTTTGCTTGTGCCGCCTTGGTAATATCCACCAGCATGTGGACATACAGGGATGGTTCCGAATTGCCAAATAATCTTTCAGCCGTAGCCCGGATATCAGCAGGGAGCCAAGGGCTGCCACCCCACTGGTTTGTCAACCACTGCGCACCACCCGCGACTTTTCGAAAGAATGCGGTCCAGTGGCCGTTGCACACGATCGACCGTTCTCTTTGAGCTTGCTGATGTATCGGAGTGTTGGCTTTGTAGTGTAGAAGGATTTGGGCAAGGATGGCTACGACGTCGGTGGTGTTCTTTGCCATTACTCGGAGTTCGCTGGTGAAGATCTCTGTCACTTCTTTGGGTGAGGTGGACTTGTTGAGAATCGCAGAAAGGCCTTGGAGCCGCTTTTGATACGTTAGCACCGATGAAAAGTGGTGGAGTTGCCCTGGAATGTACTCACAGTAAGTCGAATGTCTGCTATTGCTGTTGGAGCAGACGCTTCCGGAACTGGAGGCGCCACAGCTTGGTGCTGGGGACCAGAAGCGATCTGATGATGGGATGCAGAGACGCCGGGAACGCGTGGGCATGGGGAGTTGTAGCTCCTGTTCGCGGCAGGCATGGCCCCAGGAGTTGTTTTCGTTTGGTGAGGGGAGAAGTCAGATGTTGATTTGTGGATGAATTTAGCCATCATGAAGCGAGGCTTCGAGGCCAAGGTTGAGCGCTAGTGAGTTGCGTAACAAAGAAATGTTCAGAAAGGCGAGGCCGCAAAACAGGTGCATAAAGGAGATGAGAGAGAATTATGTGAAGTGAAGATGTAAAAGCTGCTGGTGGTTGTTTGAAAAGAGTGGGCCTCAGCCTCGCGTCAGGCACCTTAACTCCTCTGCATTTCCTGATCAAGGAGGGGTGCAAAAACGGATGCTTATTTTATACGAGAGCACACTGCGTTGCCAAAGCGATAGTTATTATGATCGTGGCAGAGGTGGCACAGTTTGGTTAAGCCAGCCAATAATCTGTGGTGCCCCAAAACTGATCCTGCATCCTGTTGAAGTTGCTTCCACTCTGGTTTGCTCGGCCACAGCACTGCCTGACACTGACCAAGGCCCATACCCAACCACTTCACCATCAGCTTTCCAAAACTCCTCTATAGCCTTCACTTCTCCCTTGAACTCAACCGTTGTATCAGCAGCAATGATAAAAGAGGTCGGATAGGCCGGAAAGGCCCATTCACCACTCTTCTCGTCTTCCCGATCCTCGATCATATCATGAATACGACCTGGGCCAGGGCTGACATTGATACCTCTCTGAATCTCGAGATCAGTGTCGCGGAAGAGCTCGCTGTATAACCATGGGCGGTGGATATTGACGACGAGGGCAGAAAATGAAATGCTAACATCGCAGGATGCCATCTCTCGGCGTAGCCCCTCATCCAAGTTTGTACCGCCCAAGGACCAGAGACCAAAGCCGGTTGTTACGCTTCCTTGAGTCTGGATATCCGATGCAGAGTATGAGAGTGCAATTCTGCTCCAGGTAGTTTCATCACTGCTATTCAGCTGCCCAGGTTCATACTGCTGACGCCACTCCTCGGCCTTGACCCTACAGGACGTAGCCCACCCTTTAGGTGTAAGACTAACACCGTAAACCTCCCCATCGCCACTTGGATCGTCTACCGCAGAGTTCCTCATCGCCTCCTTACTTCTTTCCACGCGCTCCATAGGATCCATCTGGAACAGGCCAAAGGCAAACTCGACGGCATATTTCTTTCCGCCATCAACCCAGTCCATCCATGCAGCTTGAGTAGCATCCTTATAGCGCTTGCCCTCGTCCTTGGACCACTTCTCGAGGTATTTCTGTCGTTTATCGGCGTGCTCCTTGGTCGCGTCTTCAAAGATTTCATGCGCACGACGAGTAGCCCCGATCTTTGCCGTTTCCCAATTTCCACGCTCTTCAGCCCACTTCATCTCCTTATCCCTATAAATCTCCATGATGGTCTTTGAGGTCCCGGGGACTTTCTGTTTGAGAAACTCCATCGACTTTGCGTAGTCCATCTGTCCGGGGCTGGGGATGCCTGGGACGGGGGTGGATGTCGGGCTTGCGGGAATTAAATTGTCAATGGCGCGAGCGTAACTGCGCGCAACACTCCTGGTCTCGTTGCCGACCTTTGATGTGTTAGCACTGAGATTTCGGTAAGATGGGGCTCTACATACTGCTAATTTGGCTATCGGCATCATTCTATCAACTAAGCTAGCTTCAGCCTGTCTAATATTTGCTGGAGGAAAACTATGTCTGGACTCATCATATACAAATGAGCCGCCGTGATCCGGGTTGGCCAGATCAATTACAGTTGCTGGGACAGCGATGGTCAGGTACTGCTCTTGACCGATAGAGAGAGATGCGGAGATGGCATCTCTGACTTTTGCGCTCACGCTCGCAATGGAGGTCAGAGTCTCTGCAGAAAGCTTATCAAGATTGGTGGCCATGGTAATTCGCACGCAGGTAGAAGCTCAAGTCAAGAGAAGAACTCGAAGTTGGATTAACGTCAGATGGAACGAGATAATAGTTTCTCGCGCTTTGTCATCCTCGGGGCGCTTCAGCAAGCCACATTTACTTATCTGTGGTCCTTGCATTGGATACAGAAGGGTAATCCTCAGCGACAAAAATATCCATGTGTATTAGTGGACTTTTATGCCGGGCATTTCTGGCACCCTGGCTTCCTGTGGGTGGATTTCTTGCTCCATGTGAGCAGTTCAATCAATAGCGCGCTGGATTTAGTGGGCTGACGGACCCGAAAAGGTTAAGGCAATCAATAGTTTGCTGCAAGTCTTGGTAAAGCAGACCAGTGGAACCTCGTCTCTGGCTGAATGTGAGATGGCCAAATGATATCGAAGATATCGCTTATGCACTGAAAGGACAGATAAAGTAGTAGTATTCTTGTGAAGCGTGTATAATGTGGAAAAACAAAAAGTGAACTTGCTATAGTCGAACATATTAGCAAAAACAAAGGACTTGCGGTTTGTGTGGATCGAACACACGACCTTCAGATATCAATGGATTGAAGTTTGACTTCAGTCTGACGCTCTCCCAACTGAGCTAAACCCGCTGACTAATAATACTGCAATCTTTATTGCCACTCATAGAAGGATTTGGTTCTTCGCCAGACATTCGCCTCCAGATTATCGTCAGATCTATCATCCTGGAGTGTTATATGTGCAACTGGCTTGATGCCAGCAGTTAATCTTAGAAATTTTCATTTGGGTTAATAGACTTAGTGGGCTAAGTCTAGTCTGCTGATTTAAGCTCCTAGCCACAAGTCTCAACTGCAAATCACACATCTAGCTAACTTAGACATAATAGCAATATCACGCACCTTACCTTTGTTAAGGCTATGCACATATTGCCTTCCAAAAGCTGAAGTTAATTGGAATTTTCAGTGTCTTGGCTTGAGATGTCTCGTTAAGATGTTATACGCTTCGATTATTAATTATTATGCGCAGCCTTAAGCTTAACCTTGTAGGCAGCAACTATACAGCTGCAACCATAGGAATATACTTCCAGGTCATTATTAATTGATTTCCTTATCATTATGTGAGTGCAATACTGTTATGAAAATATTTAAACCTCTTGGCGCCCTTTCTTGCCTCATTCATCGTTTCTTCCTGCAGACTTCACTTTCCAACTTGATTACGCCATGTCTGCCTTGCTTTATACATTTTTCGCAACAACAATAGGAGTTCCCATCGTGATAATGTTATTTATAAGATACGGTACGAAAGCAGGTCCTATATAGTAGTGTTATAACTAATGACTGTTATAGCGAGCTATGTGATTACCTGGCAGAGAGACATTGAAAACAATGGAAGAGGTACAAGGATACGCTTTTAAGAAAGTTTGAATTACTGATCAGGATTGACTAGGTTATGAAGAGGCGATGAGAAGGGCGGACGCTGAAACGAATGACAGGGAATTTGCAATCGAGCTGAGCCTTTGGAAGAAACCGCCTTCTTCAACACTTGGAAACGGGCTCCCTCATTGCATACAGCTTATCCATGACCACGTTTCTCTTAGCTCTCCCGAGGCTTTAAGACTGAGAAGCTCCCTGAAGAAATATTGTCCATGGTCATCTCCTGGCTCTCAAAAGGGGATAGTGAAGGCGGCCTTGCTTTCTTTGCTTTGCGGCAGGTTTCTCGACACTTCCGGTGCCTGACGGAAGGCGCCGAGTTTAAGAAGCACTATTTCTCAACTCATTTCTGCTGCAAGTGGTGCTCTGCCGGCCATGAAGATTTGTCAAATCCTTCAAGAGACCCGAGGAACGTACGCCATTGCTTTGAGTACAATGTACCATTCCCGGGTTTGAAGACTGAAGTTGTGAAGCTGATGATAAGGGATTTCGCGTGCAAACGCTGCCGGAGAGTCAGAAAAGCAGCGTCGCTATGGAAAGATCATGTCATCACTTGCAAGTTTCAAGCATTCGACTCCTACCCAGGGTCATGGTCGAAGTGTCACCCCTGCGGTGTTGAGCATCCCAAAGCGTGTTTTGCCAGTTGGCAGCTCGCGAGGCCTAGGAGTACCTGCATCGGGAGGCAAGGCCACATCAGACTCTGTTGTCATAAAACACTAACCTGGGACGATATAAAAACCTGTATTGACGAAGGGCAAGATGGTGAAGACCGGGTATTTCTGGGGAGCTGCGACCACGAGGATCACTCTGCAGCTTGCGGTGAAGGCCAAGGTCCGCAGGCGTTTGCCACCAAGCTCCCAGGGGGGATGACTGTGGTTCTAAACTTCTGGAGAGGACATTCCGGCGGCGACCCATCCGTCTTTCATTCGAGTGGGTATTTGTAGAAGGCAAAGTTCAAGGAAGCCATTCAGAACATTCGACAACAAGGAGGCCGCCATATGATACCGCAACGAGGAGTGAACGCGATGGCAGAATGGGATTCTATCGCCGAGATCGATGGATCAGAGTCTATCTCACCAGACCTGATCAAGCTTCGTGGTGGCTGGGCATCTCAGGACCCAGGTCATCCGCATGTCTGCAGCCCTTTCCGTACCTTGAAGGTGGCTTGCGGTCATTGTGAGAAGGCAAAGGGCTGTTTCGTTATGACGTCTATCAGAATGATATGCTTTGACATGCCAGGGACAGCTGGAGGAGGCCTGCCACATGATTGGTGTCATGCCATCGATCCAACCTCTTATGACTATTCTGGCCATTTTAGTGTTCCTGAAACTTGTCGCAATACGAGCTGTCGCTTTCACTACGGCGAAGGGATGATGACAAGCTATCCTCTGGTCAACAAGGCCATAAAAAAAGTTGACCGTACAAGGGCCACATCTTGAGAAGAGCTTTGTCGTTCTGACTCGGGATCCCTTATCGCCTTGTGTTCAAGATTTTGTCAAAAGATCTAGTTGTCAGATGTTGCTTGTGTTGACGGAAAGCTTTCCGCAGTCAGAATATTGAGCCGATCCTGGCTCGTGAAATTGATAAAGAGATCTGGCTTATTGCATAGATGAATATTTGAACCCCACTTTGGCCTATGAACTTATTAACACTGTTTCCGATCTTTCTAGGCCTTCTTCTTTCCTTGCGTTCAAAGAAAGAACGAATCGCTTCGGGTGCCTGAACATAATATTTGAGAAATATAATTGTTTATACCTTAGTTCAACAAAGGTAGGTTTCCCAATTTGCTCTCTTTTCACCCCTTAAATTGATAAAACAAAAATAAATTGCTAAGATCATAGATGGACACAAGCAAACAAGATACGAAGCTGGTAGAGCAACTATTCCTCGATCTCCCTATAAGCGATGTTCTCCATCCTCCCGAGTGGGCTCCTGTTGTCGAACCCTGGGCAAGCTCATACGTGACTTCTATTCGCGAATCAAGATTTGGCGACGCAATCTGGGCGCGATATCAAATGCTTGGACAGGTAGTTGATGGGTTGTGCAGAGGGAAGACCATTGTTGAGAGGATCACTGAAGATGAGATGGGGTACAAGAAATACTCATCCGAATTTTATGCTGAGGCCGTCGCCTTTTACAGAGCTAACAACAGCAGCTCCGACGGCCATCCTGAGGTGATTGAGATTATCTTGCGGGTCGACACCGAAGACCTTACTGGGAAGCATATTCCTGAGGATGGATGAAATCTCATATGCTCTGTGGCTTTGAGGAACGTAACTGTTGGTCTTGTGCCTGGCACTGAGTCACATCTCCATGATACGGTATCTGTGGGTTTGCATGTTATGTTCGGCCAAGACGGCTCGCCCGGAACCCTCGGCGGTAGATACCCTGACACTTCAAGAACTTTATTTATGACGTCTTACTCTCCCACAAGACCAAGTGTCTGATAACACACTCTCTAAAAGGAGTACGGGCTTTGCATCTTACATATCAGAATTATAAGAAAAGTCGAGCGCCCAATGATTTTAATTTCTATAATTATATGGTATGAAGGCACGATAAACAGGGATATCCCTTATGTGTTCTGGCCGACTCACATCAGGTTGGGCGATGGTTCCAGGCCTCGACAAGCCTGCACCAAGTGTTGGTGGACGGGGCCCAAGCGCATTGTAGCGTATCCAATCCTCATCATTAGTGGTCTTTTGGCCTCCATCGGACAGGGCAAGCAAATAACGCTCAGGGATCAGCATACTGTGTTGGGCTAGTACATATGGAACCAACACAACCAACATGCATAACACGGGAAAGTCGGGAGAGGAACTCAATGCGAGCTGAAATGCCTGAAAGAGGTCACGAAAGGAGTCCCGGAAGCAGCTCTAATGTTTTCCATAAAGTTTAAAGGTCTGGCTCCTGGCAACAGTCAGAGCCCCTGGGAAAACAACTCCAATACTCATTTTCACCGGCTTCGAGCGCGATTGGCTGGTCTATTGAGAAACAGTGTAGCCGATGCCCAGCGCACTGCGATGCTATCAAGGCATCCGAGTATTCGCCAAGAAACTCTGGTCATCGCAAGATCGGCCTTAGCAGTAAAAAAGAGGCTGTTTCTGGGTATATCCATACAGAACAATAGGAGGACAAACATTTGATACTGAGCTGCTTCTACTTTGACATTTGTTTCAATCTATGTGCCAACCATTCCCCAGCCGTATACACCTTTCCCTCGCCAACCTTACCGCCAACAGTAACTACAGGTTCGTTCTTGTACTGTTCAACCGGCTGCATCAACATATCATCAGCTGGTCTGACGAAGTGCACCAGGCTATATCGATCCAATTTACCATGCACTCCTGGCAACGGAACAACACGGTGCTTTCCAGACTTGAGGCGCCCATTGCTGAACTTGACCATCGCATCGCCAAGATTGATAATGGCGTGTCCGGGTAATGGTTTGACAAACGCCCATTCTCCCTGTCTTGCTGGGTCGTGAGATTGAATCTGTAGACCACCGACCCAGTTGAACAGTACGGTAATGCTACCAAAGTCTGTATGGGAGGCAAGTCCAATTCTCTTAGCATCTGCAGAGTCGCAGCCTGGCATTTTGGTCATTCTGATATGATCCCCAGAAATTGAAGAGATGTTGTTTCTCTTGGCGAACTCATCAAACGGCAGATTGAGCTGTTCCGCCAAGATGCGAAGGATCATAAGACCTAAACAGTGACAATCTTGAGAGAACTTTCCCAAATTTGTCCACTGACTGGTGATCTCTGTAGGATAATTTCGCGACTCAGAGTTTCCCAATAAGTGATCTTTGCTCACATTGAAGAACTCAGTTGTATCGGGCCGTGCATCTTCATCAGTCTGCTTAACTGCCCCGGCGGGCTTGTAGCCAAACATTTGTTTGCCACGCTCCGCGACGCATTCCATCTTTTTGCCTAGAGGGATGTTGAGGGCGCGTTTTGAGATGGCGAGGACATTTTCTGTGTCCCTTAGAAGAGATTGTCCGGCGGGGTTATCCGTGAGATCGAGATAGAAGAATCCGTCTGACTTAGAAGCTTTGAGCACTTTGATCATTTCATGTTCATCGGAGCATTTTAGCTTGGAGTATGAGATTCGGGCTATTGGCACTGTAGGCACATCATCAGGGAATGGAGGAAGCGTGTTGTCAAGACTGCCCATGTTGGTAGTTGGATTCTTGTAAATTATGTGATGAGATGGTTGAAGACCCTTGGAATGATTGATCTAAGCTGGCTGGTATGATAGTTAAGTATTGAGAGTCTATTCTTAGCGCACGGAAACATCCATGAGTCGCTGACGCTACCAAGCATGTAGCGGCAGTCAAAGCGCCATGACATGGAAAGCTCCATCGCTCGGCAGTTTGCTGATTGGAGAAAGAAAAAGGGCAGATGTATACTACGTCGCATGCCAAGAGAGAGAATACTACGTTGAAGCAATTAGCCGGGGGGAAAGACAACCCAAGACCTGAATCCTAAGAGACGAAAGGACTTAGGTAACTTAGAATAAGTTTAGGATAAATTTAGGATAGGTTACCTAAGTTTAGTAATTTTAGTACAGACTTAGGATAGCCTTTACTGAGTTTATTCTGGCACACTACATCTAGGTCTGGTGTTTTCCTGCTCCCTGAGGGGCGGTAAGAAGGCTTAGATCTTTATCGCAAACACGATGAGATTTAAGTATGACACGTACTCATATGATTTGATGTAAAAGACAGTCGCTGTGTATTTGTTCTATGTTTCATAATATTTATCCAACTCCATTATTCTATCCAACACCAATTATCTATTTATCATCTTCGTCTAAATCTCCTCCAATAACATTCAAATACAACTGCTCTTGCTTCTTAGCCGCCTCCAAAATCTCCTTCGGAACCGGGTCCTCATCCACCAAAACAATCAACTCCTTCAATTTCCTACAAGTAAAATGAAAATTCTCAATAGCACTAACAAACAAATCCGTAACTTCTTCATCTGTACCCAAAGGGTTAAAAAACTCTAATGTTTCTAGTTCGGGCGGTAGTCCAACAGAGTGCAGCCGTGGTTTCTTTGTAGACTTTCCAAAAAGCTGGTAGTCCCAGTTTAGGCGGAGTGTTTTTAGCGCGGTGAACTCGCGAAGGGCGAGGGGGCGTGCGCTGGCGAGCATGGGAAAGTCGATGGTGATGGTTTCTAACGAGTGGCATTGTTCTTTGAGGGAGAGGATGTAATCACGGATGCTAGCTGAGCTTTCTTCGAGTTCGGGCTCGGGCTCTTCTCTTTGGGTGAGGACGAATTCCTTGAGGGCTTCGGGAAACATAAGCACGTCTGAGAGCGCGTCGTCATTGATGTCGCATTCTATCAGGTGGAGCTTGCTGAGCGCTGTGTTGTGCGGACGCTCGATTAACTCAAAGCCTCTGTCGTCGAGTTTTGCTCGCTTGATGACCAGTGTTTCGAGAGTAGGATGTGTAAAGATGTGGATGTTCTCTTGGAGATCCCAGTACTGATCGGCCTCATCCTGGTAGAACAGGGTACAGGATTGCAGACAAGCGAGATCAAAAGGTCCGTTGAAGAGATTTCCTATACTGTGTAGAAGACCAACTGGCACAGCGATATCGAGAGTTTTGAGATTCGACATTGTTGAGATTGTATGCGACACAGAATTGGTTGGTTCTAGCGTGTCGGAAATGAGACGTGTTAACTCTGAAGCCGGGTAAGCCAGCTTAACCCCCTCAATAGCTGATCCGCGCCTTGGTCGTCGATTAAGCGACTGACTAAAGATGAGGTGAAGTTCTGGTTTAAGCCACTGGACCGTATTATACAGGACGGCATCCGCAAGGGCATGATAGCGCTTGTTCAACCGCGACACGCTACAGAGGTCATGCTTGGGCAGTATTTCGAGTATCGACACGAGAATCTCATCCGTGAGTCGCGCAAGGCTATCGCAGTGGGCGCCATGATAAAGGGGAATGGCGACCATGTCTGAGTCGTCGGGTAAAGATAGTGAGGAGAGAAGTGATACGATATTTAGGGTGGTGTGTTGTGCTCTCGAGGTCGGAGCGATTAGCGCGTCGATTGACGTAACGGATTGAGCCATTTTATGTGGACCGTATGGGGTAAGCCGGGTTATGTAAGCGAGAAAAGGTGAGACTTGGCGAGGTTAGGGCGATCAAGACAGATTTCAGAATGCGGAGAGAGGAGCACGGACGCGGATCATGCCGGGGTACAAGGTATTTATAGATCCAGGGAGAGGTTTGTCTATTTTATGCATGGGAAGGGGATCTATTCTCTGTTGAAGCTCAAGATATACCTGCTTGGAATGAGTTACATATTAGGTTTGTTATTCACAGAGCATAACGAGTGTTGAAAAGTTGGAAAGTCAGTTATGAAATGCTAAAATAAGCACCGTGAATTCTAATGCAACTTTGACGCGAGGCCAGGTGACTCTGCGTCGCTGCGAGTGATACTGATCTGCCTACGCCGTATTGCATTCCGCCTCTGTCGAACACTGAAGATACAGATAATCAAGGTCATCAAAAACCAATGATTGAAAGTATTTGTTTGTGAGAAAACATCGAATTAGGGTCCCTTCAGATATGTCGTGGCTGGCCTGGAATGCCTTGACGATTAACTTTGTTCGTTCATAGCAAAGGACCGTGATTCTCGCGACGGAACCATCAGGTCTCGTGACCTTCTTTGGCTTGAAAAAAGGCTTTTATCATCATAATGTGCATCTGCTGTTGAAAATAAATTTCTTTTTTAATCTAATCTATATAACTTTGCTTACAAAAACCTCTTGGCGTCGCCGTGTTCACCAATCATTCCATCACAATCAGCACGTGGAATAATTGTGCCTCATGAAATTGCTTGGCAAATCATCCGCTCAAAACCTTTAATTAAGTTATGCCCATTCAATTAAATTGTTGCCTCCTAATTATTCTCTTCTGCAAACTTTATGATGGATGAGCGTGTTCATGCCACAGTGAAATGGGTCGAGGCGTCAGTCAAAGCCTCACCCTACATCTGGAGTGCAGCTGGTCTGACCTTTCTTCTCGGCGTGCAAGTACTTTTGGCGGTAGCCATTCTTCACGGTGACGAGGCCACTGTACGGAGACAATTACACTCTCTTCACAGGGTTGACAGCGACAACGATGCGGTCTCGAATGAGAACCTAGAGCCAAATGAAACAGAAAAGAAGGACACCAGTAGCCGGTCAGCATGCCAGGTTATTGAACTTTCTCCCATCGCTTCATGCGCAACTATCAAAGTCAAATCGAATCAGGATCTTGATGATCAAGACAAACACAACAACTCTTACCTGTTTGCCGTCGACTCTCACCAAGCAGATGACCAGGGTTTTGCCATCTGGAAATCTCTGGATCAGCGGACCAAACCTGCATTATCACAAATAAAGACCGAATTATGGCTTCCAAAATCCAATGCCGTCAAAAGCGATCCTTTGGTTCAGGCCGGGGGATGCATCGTCATGTCATTTGCTGATCCTGCGGTGCCGAGTTGGCTGGATCAGATCGCTGGAATGATTGGCAAGAATTTGAAGACGCCTCAGGTTGCTTGCATCCTGCCACTACAATTCTCCCTAGACGACATTGAGCAGAATAAGCTCATCATGAGGCGATTCAAGATTGATGGAGAGGATGGGAAGGGTTTGGACCTGGAGAAGTTTCCTGCAGTTTCGGATATTTTGCCCAAATTGAGGCTTTTTCTTGGGTATTCTGAGCAGCAAGGCATCACGATCTTCAAGCGGGCGTAGATAGATTCACCTGAAAAGGGAACATGAGAAGTTCAGTGTAAATTATGATGGGATAGCATATAGATTGTTTTGACACACTTTATGCCTCGAGCTGCTGCCGATACCGGTAGATATCACCCTGTAATCGGCCCTCCGCCAGATCTGCTGCAGCATTACTCCCCCATACCCCATCAGTAAATCGATATTGTCGTAGAAATTGTATGGCTTGGTGCCGCAAGTCCCAATCCTCGCTGGTGACAGCGACGAAGTACAGTGCTTCGACAAGACCATTCGCCAGATTCAACCCAGCCTGAGCAGGTCGAAGACCAAGGTCCTGGATTAGTTGGAGCGCGAGATCCAGAATTGTTTTGCAATTTTTATCGACAGCCTTTTCTGCATCATTACTTCTGTTGGATGCCAGATCAAGGGTAACTTCGACCATTGTCCGTCGCATTCTAAGCGCAGTCACATGTTTCTTCTCTTCTTGAGAAGTAACGCTTAGGTTCTCAAATTGCCGGTCCCAAAGTTTCAGGGAGTACTCGGTGGATAGAATTGAGGCTTGGATATTTGAGGGCTGAAGTATTTGGCCATGTATAGCATCGAGCTGGCGTAACAACGAGCACACTGACGGTGTGCCAAAAGCACCCTGTAAAGTTCCTCGTTGAGAGCGACCTCCCAAGCAATACGACGTACTGTCGGTCGTTGAGATGACGCGAGTCTGCGTGTCTAATCTCATGTACAATCCTAGTATATCCGTCATCATATGTTGGCCCTCGCCTCTCAGGCCGTCCCATTCATGAATGAGTGCCAGGCCATTTCTCAAATGAACGAGAGCTTCTTGGCGAAGACCTTGCAATGAACAAAGGTAAGTGAAGAGAAAGTTTGCAACCAAGGCAGCCATCCTTTCAGATGTAGAGAGAACTTTGGGCTCCTGAAAGCAAATGGAGAGAGCTTTCATAGCCTTTTGGTACTGGGAAAAGATAAACATATCGCAGCTTTTGGACTCTATGCCGAGGAGGATAGACTTCTGGTATGCCGACGCGAGTGCTGCTAGGGCGTGTCGGACGGGTGTGTATCTATCTGAGGTGTGTAATACATCATATGTCCAGAAGTTGGCGTCGAATGAGGAGGCGATGAGTGTTGCGATTCTAGTCCGGAATTGATAGATGGCTTGACTTTCGGGGTCACTGCCTCCAGAAACTATCGGCTGAAGTATTCTACCGCTCGAAAACAAGGGAGTGAGGTCATATCCATCGCACTTGCGGCCAGTGGAGACACAGCGGTGGCAACTAGGCTTGTCTTCATCACATTTGACCCGACGAATGCTGTCATGATTAGTTACTGGCTGTTGTTGCAAGGGTTGTCACTAACCGACAGGTGATACAGCCGGTCTTCCCCTTCGTAGCGTATCTTCTCTTCCGGGACCCCGTAGTACTCATAGCTAGAGAATCCTTGAAGATATGAGCAAGGTGAGTGAATCAGCGCATTCCAAGTTTCGAGGGGCGAAGGATTGTGATATGAGTGCACGACAAGTATTACTAATGGGATGATTGCCGCATAGTGGAGATTCATCCTCGCGACTTATTGGCCACCTCGTTCAATTCAATGCACTAGTCCCAAAGTGTCGAGCCGAGAATCGTGTATTCCACGGATGGAGGCATCTTTCTATAACAAGATTGACAATCAAGAGGTGATTGGTAATAACATCAGGGAACTTACCGGACTGAATGTATCGAAGGGGACGGTCGTGCTGTCACTTTGGGGTATAAATCTCTCTCATTCCGCCATGATTGTGATTGCCTCTATCAAGCTTCCCAACCTCAAAACACGACACTCAATAATCCATTTTATTTACACCACTCACCTTGGAAAATGTCCTTTCCAAAGACGGTCCAGCTATACCCTGACGTGGCACCAGTGCCCGGCACACAACTTGCTGAAAGTGGAGCCAACTCAACCCTCTTCTCTCCCCTTCAAGTCCGAGGTCTTACACTCCAAAACCGCATCGCCGTCTCCCCCATGGGAATGTTCAGTGCCAATGATGGACATCTAACTGACTTCCATCTTGTACACTACGGCTCCTTTGCAACCAAAGGTGCAGCTCTCGTCATTGTTGAAGCTACAGCTGTAGCTTCCAATGCTCGCGTCTCAACCAGAGATTCAGGTCTTTGGAGGGATAGCCAGATTGCACCTTTGAAGCGCGTAGTCGACTACATTCATGTCCAAGGACAGAAGGCTGGTATTCAGCTCTGCCATTCTGGTCCCAAGGGTTCCATGCTCCCACCGTGGCTTGCTAACGGCGATCCCATGGTACACTTCCCACTTGCGAATAAGGAAGCTGGTGGATGGCCGAATGACGTCAGGGCGCCGAGTACGATTTGCCATGGCCCTGGATATCCTGTGCCGAAAGAGATGGGACAGGAACAAATTGATCTTGCTGTTGATCAGTTTGCTGGTGCTGCTAGAAGAGCTGCTGAGGCCGGCGTCGGTAAGTCTTTTATCCCCGGCCCTGGGATCGTGACTAACGGTAGAAGACTTTATCGAGCTCCATGGCGCCCACGGGTACTTGATCAACGCCTTCCTGTCACCTCTCACGAACCATCGAACGGACGAATATGGCGTTTCTTTCGAGAACAGAACGCGCTTCTTGTTTCGTGTCCTGAAAGCCGTGCGGGATGCCATACCAGACACTGTTGTTCTCTCACTGCGCATCTCAGCTGTTGAGTGGATGGAGTGGAGCGGAAAAGACTGTTGGACCCTTGAGGATTCCATCAAGCTTGCTAAACTACTTCCCCAGGCGGGCGTTGACATTCTGGATATCTCATCTGGTGGTAACCATAGGGACCAAAAGATCGACATTCATACCTACTATCAGATCGATCTTGCTTACCAGATCCGACAAGCCATCCAAACTGATGGTATCAAACTGCTGATTGCAGCCGTGGGGTTCATCGATAAACCTGACATGGCTGAGAGTGTTGTTCGTGGGAATGGTGATTTTGGGGCATTACAGAAGACGAATGGGATAAATGGAGACGCTGAGAGGGGGAAGTATGAGGAACCTCAGGCGGACTTAGTCATGGTTGGGAGGCAGTTTTTACGAGACTCAGGCTTTGTACTTACAGCTGCCAAGAGTTTGGGCGTGAAAGTCCAGTGGCCCCTGCAGTACTCCAAGGCTAAGTAAGAAGGCGGTCTGTACCAGAGAATAAGACGATCATCTATATGTTTGTGTGGTTGCTAGTACTGGTATTTGTAGTGAAGAAAGATATGAGGTGCAACCGAGAGTAGAGGAGCTTAATCAAGAGCTTTCGAAATGTTTCGTCAACAAAATAAAAAAGGCAGAATTCCCCAGGATACCCAGCCTGCCTGACTGGATATGAACTACTAGGGCAGCCTAATCAGATTGCTCAAGTCTCCTCTCTTAACCCCACGATCTTTGCTGACAACCTGACGACTATTGTTTACTCAGGGAGCTCATAAGTCAACCAGATTTCCTGGCTAGGGTCATCCCAGAAGATGAAAGCCAACTTGTCATATTTGAGCCCGCTAGCACTTGACATCTTCTTCAGACGCTGCCCACCAAAAACTCTACCCAAGTTTCTCTGACCAGTGCACAAAAACGGGTTCAGTGCGGAACCCGAGTACCAGAGTTCCTGGTCAGGTCCACCAGAGTCAACTCAGAAGTTCAAAACAATCGAAGGTTGTCATCGTCTTGCACTATAGCCGTTGGACTTGTCCCTTGATAGTAGCATTGACCTCCAATTTGGGCCACGATAGAGCGCTGCCGGTTTAGCACGTGACAAAGGAGGGGTTGTTGCCCAAAGGTTTTCCCCTCGCCGGCGAAGAGTCGGGCCGAGCGTGTATTTTCCTACAGCGGATCTGAAATGGAGAAGTGGGTCTATTGTGTAAATAAAGCATTGTGATAGGTCAGAAAGCAAATCGTGGTGCGAGATGCGCTCAAATTAGCAGCATAGCAATACCCGTTGGCTCGAGCCGGGGGGGGGGCCAACTAAGCAAGCTTAGTTGGGCACAAAACCCTGAGATATGCATAAAACCATGAGACAGCTGATCTTACCTAAATTTGAGTGTAAAAGTTACGTGCAGCTGAAAAAACTAATATATCTTTAAATAACTATATAACTAACTTAGTTAGTAGGCTATATAAAACTTTATAAAATTCTTTAAAAATAGGGCTATTTAAAAGTATTTTTTTTATTATTATATAATTTTTTTAAAATTAAATATCTTAATTTTTAATATTTTTCTTAAGAATATATTTTTTT